CAAAGGGGAAACTCCCCAAAGAAGTCACAGTATCCCATATAAGCGAGAGGACCCGACGGATGGACTTCCAATGTGATTTAATTAAACCTCCACCGTCATGCCTCAGTCACCGCTTGATGATGTGCCAATGATATTCAGGGACCTTGCAGATGACGGCGAGTAGTTACGAGTATGCGGTAATGCGGACCTACCGGACAGAACATTCCTGATGATTCATATTTGGTTGACAGGGAAGCAACAGTGGCGGCTAGACCCGGATTGTCCACGGAAGAATTTAGAAGTTGAGTTCCAGTTGACTGTGGCTTTGCCATTGCCCTTCCATGTCCGAGTAGTAAGGGCTCTTTGGCTGCATTATTCAGGCAAATCACGTGGCGCCCGCTGACCCGTGTTCAGACGTGTGTGGTTTGCATTGTTTGTCCGGGGGGCCCCTCATGCGACCTGCAGGGCAAACCAATAATTTGCCTGGAACATGGTGGATGGATCGTCATTTGAGTGCCGAGTGGCTGTGGAATGAGGAGTGGGGGGGCTTCCTTTCATTCTAAGAGGAGGGGGGCGGATGACTCCATACTTATCTTTTTGGTTTGCAGACTGCAAGGCAAGCGCGGTACTCCGTAGATCCAAGGTCCGGCTGGAAAAAGGCACGTTAGGCAGTCCGAAACTGGCGTCATACCCTGACGGTCACCGTCTCAAACGGACCAATCATCACCTGATCCTCGTCATGTGCCGGCCTGGGGACCTCACGGAGGGTACCAGACTTTACCATACCGTACCGTACCTGCCGACCGAATCTAGTTCCGTCCAACTAATAGTAGTCTATTCGTGGCCGGTCACCACTAAGGTTAACTAAATCTGGGCCTGATAGGAGATAAGTCAGCCTACCCATGGGGGATGTCATCCATACTCCTGACCTGACCCCCCTCCCCCTCTCCCTCCATGTTCTTCCCCAACCTCTCTTTCTATTTCCTCAAACAAACTCACTTCTTTGACCAAAACTGTCTTCTTTGTATCCGGTATATCTATCATCTTTGTACATTTTGTAACTCGTGTTCCACTTCCATACATCTGCCCCGGATTCTCGGACGAACGGTATAAGCAGCGCTTCCGTCTCGCCCTAATCTCCGAAGCTACAAGCGTATCTTGACTCTGGATACGCTGTTGCTTTGCTAACCTTTATTCCTACGCGCACCGAAACCGCTTTTATCACAGTATTAAACCCAAACCTCCTTTTCAATAACCATACATGTACGTATTGTTTTGCACCCTCGATTGCTGGGTGAGTCATACTAACGGGGATGTTTGTTGATAGTCAACAGTCGATAGTGCCATACCTCCGCGACAGTCTTTGCCACCGATAACATCGCGAGACCCCCGTTCTCAGACCTTATCACGGGTCCTGAGAGCGGTTTTTCTTATCGAAACCGTCTTGCCTCCTCGAGGCAATCCTTCCATTTCATGCCCCCGGCAGCTTCGGACGATCTATTCCGCCAGCAGAGCCGGTCCGTCGGTGACCCTAGCCCACCCCTAGAGGATTTGAACCAAACTCCCCCGGAGAATGAACACAGCGGAAAGAAGAAAAAGGGAAAAGTCGGATCCAAGGGGAAGACAAAGACAGCCAAGGCTGCAGCAAAGACACCGCCGGAAGACTTGTAAGCCCAGAGCACCGCGAGTTTTGCCACTTGGTCCATCAGATCACTGACCTGGAATACTCAAAATGCACAGGATTCCAGCCTCTCCGCCTCTGCAGGCCGAACCGTCGTCATGTCCAGACCCTCCGTTGGCTTCTGAACGTCCCAACAATATCGTCTCGCCGGTTCTAGATGCACTTGGCTCCCTTAATGACTCACCAGAGAATGATCTAGCGTATCGTACAGATAGCTGGGCAAAGTCTATCCCATTTGGGAAGAGCCCACCGAATGACGTTAGTGACGGCGAAATCGCGAACGGGTCTCCCTTTGCCTTCCCCTCAAATCCGGAAAAGGGCGGTTTTAGCCACCCCTCCTCAACGTCGCCTCTTCCCAGGGCAAGGCCTTTGAGCTACGGCAACGGGTACTTGAGTAGTGACTTATCTCGACAGCAGTCTGTAGATAGGTATAAAAGCCACTCCGTCAGCGGCCCATTCAGTAACCCGATTCCGTTGCCGCATTTGCCCCAGGCCCATTTCTATGGAGCACCTGATATCGACCTCCCACTCGTGTCTGGCCAGAACAGGCAGTCGACAGGTGAAAAATACTCTTTCTGTTCCTTTGACACGATCTACAGCCCTTCGTCCAAGTCGTCGAGGATGGGAACTAGTGTTCTTGTTGTGGGTACTGATGGATCTTTGGAAGTCCTCGCAGTAGAGGACCGTAAAACGCGTTTAATTGGGAAGCTGGCCGGTCTCAATGGTCGTGTGATAGACGCTAAAATCCTGGCTTGCAATTTACCCAATGACTCGTGCTCAGCATCCAGACCGCATGTCGCTGTCATTATCCATGGTCCATGTGGATTACCTGACGATGCCACTCGCGGCTCTTCTGTGGGTTCAGAAGTGAATGAGGTACCTCCCACGCCCACCGGGCGCCAGCATCCTGCTGAGAGGCGCTCGGTGAAAGACGATGCCAGATATTACCAGACACGCGTCGAAATATATTCGCTCAGAACGGGGGATCACATCACGACTCTATTCACAATGAAGCCTTCTCCGTACTTTGAGAGTATCCCTGGACTGCCTGCAATTGCACCTTCACCTGCCGGAAATTTGAAGCTCTTCGCGGGAGGCAACTATGTAGTTTTGGCATCTGGAGCTAGTGGTGAGGTATTCATTTACAGCATGAATGGGTACCAGTGCCTGGGTAAAACTTGGACCAGTATTCGCTCACGGGAATCCCGGCGTTACTCGACTTCTTCAAATTCAACAGATCCTGATGGATCTCGGACCGACTCTCCATCTGGGATTGCTAACACCGACAGTCCTATTGTTGCGCTGAAGGGAAGATGGCTGGCAATCGTCCCACCGTCGTCCACGTATAGGGCGTCGCTTCCAGGGACGGTTCCTCCGTCGTTGATCCAGGGTAAAGTCTATGGTCTTGACAACCGTAATCCTCCAGCAAGGCCAGCAATAACGTGCGCTACGGACGTTGGCGAGGGCCCGAGCTTCTTCGACAAAGTAGCAAGAGGCGTGACGCAGGAGATTGTGAGAGGTGCAAGATGGATGGGCGACCAGGGGCTTCAAGCGTGGAATAATTATTGGAATAAAGACCAGCTCCAATCTTCTGCGCCCCGCCGCTCTCCCACCTTGGGAGATTTGCCGCAGGCATACAGCGCCTTCCCACCTACTCATGCCCAAGATACCCATACTACCACATCCGCGGAGCCTGACATTGTTTCAATCATGGACTTGAAAAGGCTTGAAGACGGCAATGAGACAAAGGCCGCGCTGTTCAACCCCGTTGCCACGTTCCAGCCTCCAGAAGGATGCAGCTTTCTCTCCTTTTCGCCTAATGGACTAATGCTACTTACGGCGAGCACGAATGGAGACGTTCAACACGTCTGGGATCTCATGCAAGCTAAGTACTGTCGAGCCGGAGCATTGTTGTCAGAAGATTCCGTGAACACTTGTGCCAATGTGCGCCAAATCGCACGGTACACGCGTTTGACAAAATCATACATTGTCGACGTGATTTGGTGTCCTCCCTCTGGAGACCGACTGGCAGTTATTACTCGGAAAGGAACAGTACATGTCTTTGACCTACCGCGGAGTGCTTTCCAATGGCCTCCATTCCGGCGGGCTCGCCCAACATCTAGTAAACCGCCGGCACCTGACCAATCAACGGATGAGTTGTCTGACAAAGCCACCCCAGTGAACCCTCTATCAGCGGCATTCAAGCTTGTTGGGGGCAAGACGCAGCCTATAATCGCCGCAGTTAGGGGTCGTACCGCAAGTGCTGGTGGGACTTTGCCTGCAGTAGGAGGATTTTCATCGTCGGCTGGTGTTCGAGGCGGGAAAGTAGTTGCTGCTGGTCTCAGCAAGTCAATGGGGGCAGCCACTGGGACAGTTAACACGCTCCGCCACGCTGGGGAAAATCGCCTGCACGGGCTGGCCCGTGACCCGGCTGCGTCTCGTGTCACTTGGATTACGAATAAAGACCAGGTATTTTTAGGCTTGGTGGACAGCGGGCACTTCCGGCTCTACAGGGTGCGACGTACTATCTCTACTCAGAAGAACCGGCAGCTCCAATCTGTGGTAGGAGGCAAGGAGATTGAATTCCGGTTGCCCCCAGTTCTGCAAACGCCCTGCGGTCCTATGCCTGTTAGCGCGTTTAATGTGGAGACCCCTGTTCGCGCATCGCTGGCCTTGCCTTCTTCCAATCCACGGCCGTCTCTTGCATCCAAACTTAAATGTCAGCCTCTCTCCCAGGCGGAGATCGAGACAAACGCACCTTACCAACCTTTCCACACGGACCAGAGGGTTAGTCTCTACGTATACCCGGAAATTGGTCATACGGACGAATCATCGAATCTGCCTTCTGGCAACTGGGTATTTGGTGAAAACCTGCCCATGACCAGAATACACGTGCGCCCATTCAGCGCTGGTGGCGATGATGATGATGGCGAGACGCTACATGAACACCAACTGGGCTCTGGTGGTGAGATGGAGAATCTAATCAGTCTTGGCAATAGTACGGGGCATCCTGAAGAGGTTGTGATTACCACACGCAGAAAGAAGAGACGTGGCTCGTCATTTCCTTCGGCTGGATCTGGAGGCGATGATGGCTTCTTTGAGGATGACTGCGACTTCTTGGATTTCGCCCGGGATAGGGTCTAATTGCATTATAATCTTTTTTTCCGGGGGTATATTGAAACGCAACGACATGCAGTTAGTTTAGACATTACAGCGGTTTTGGCGTTGGTCTTGTTTTGATATTTGTCTCTCCCTACACATCTCAGTGGCATTGGCTATGGCATCACTGTCGTTTTACCCTGCACAACAAATGGTTATCACCGAGTGCAGCAGGTGGTTTGATCGAGCCATACGTTCCTTTCTCTTTGCGCGTGCCTTCACAGCAGATAATATCGTCACCTGTCACATACCCATTGGTGTATTGAGAATTGATAGACTGGATAGCATGATTTCGGACTTGATGTCTATAGGTTAATTTATATTGCATTGCATGCTCTCACTCCTTGTTCTCTCCCATCTTTATACAAAGCGATCTTCCTACGCGGCGTCGTTCAGTTCGTCCGCCCACCACTCCTGAAACTCCTTCAACCTCGCCGTGCGCACTCTGGCCATCTCTCGTCCAGTCTCCGTCTTCATCATACTCTCCAGCCTCACCAACTTCTCCTCAAAATGCTCAATCGCATTATCCATCACCCACATTCCCTCAGGACAAAAGTTCTTCCCCTTCGCCCCCAGAAAAGTAAAACACCGACCAATACCCACCGCCCCGATAGCATCCAACCGATCCGCATCCTGCACAATCGCCAACTCGGGATACCCCTCGCGAATCAACCTGCCCACCTCCTCTGGCTTGGCCCTCTCCGTCGTATACGACACATGCGACACAATCATCTGCACCTTCTCCGCCAAGGCCTCCTCCGCCCCATGCGCCACAAGCACACAATACACCAGCCGCTGCGGATCCACCGCCTCTTCTTCTGCGGCACGGCCCTGAATAGAGGCCGAGATGGCCGCTACTTGCGACAGATATTTCCGGTCCCCGATGTCATGCAGCAGCGCCGCGAGGTGCACCACGTCGGCATCGTACACTGAGGCCGCGCGGGTTGTTTCGCGCGCCAGGATTTTTTGGGCTAATGACACGACGCGGTGCACGTGTTGGGGGTTGTGCGAGGGGTCGTGCGAGGCCATGCATTTGGTTACGAATGCGGAGATTTCGGGGATGAGGTTGGGGGGTAGTGATGAGGGGGACATTTTGGTTTTTGGAGTGTAGACTTAGTAGAAGGGTGTTTTGTTTGGGGTGAGTGGGAGGTTGTTGTTGGTGGTGGTTGTTTTTGGGTTTGATATAGTTTTTTTTTTATTTGGAAAATATTTAATTGTTTATTGGGGCTGGGTGATTGATGTGGGGGGTTTAAAATACGGAATGTTGTTTTTACCAACTCGAATTTATAAATACATTTCTTAGGGTTGTTTCCGCGCGGGGAGGCTATACTGGGCGGAGGGATGAAATGGATACATTTAATTCAATTGACCTTCGGGACTAAGTGCAGTAGTAAAATATTAGGAAAATGTAAGCGAATAGGAGAAATAGAATTAATCTCCTTGGAAATGGGAGATAAAAAGCCCAAAATGAATCATGAATTATTCATATCAAGGCTGTATGGTTTCCTGACATGTATCACCTAACTGATAGACTATCCTTCATATAGTCAGAAATATATAGCAAGCCGACTCGTATGGATGGAATATCGATCAGCTCTCTTTGGTAGAAGCAGTACCATTGTCATCAGCTCTGTACTTTGCCTTCGCACGTTGAACAATGATATGCACCAAAGATCCCACCGTGTTCGCTTTCGTTATCTCGTCCACGGTGACATGTAGTCCAAGTTGCCGACTTAGCCAGGACTTCACTTCTATGGCCATTAATGAATCAACAGCCACGGCCTGTGCCTGTCCCAGGTCCATTTCTGACAACTGACTAGTACGATGATTGATCAATTTTGCCAGTTCTAGGACCAGTATGGTTTGCGTCCCCGGGTCGCTAAAAAGGCGAGAATCTTTCTCGACCCTCTCAAAGAGCAGCTTGATCTGGTTGTCAGGCTTCCGGTTGTCTGCACGAGCGACCAAGTTCTGATACATTGAAAGCCTCGCATCCCGGCCATATATATCATCTTCCAGCATCTTTGTATACCCCGTCTCGCTAAGACTCCGGAAGAACCCAATTATCAGCTCACTTCAATAAAGGTGCCCGGCTGTATTCGGTGTCCGAGACTCAGAAATGGCGAGCTGCACGCTGGCGATGAGTTGCTGTTTGCTTAATCGAGTCCATCCCGCCGTATCTAGTTGACGAGAAACAGCTTGGTCCTCGATTGCTGCTGAACCCGCAACGGGGCCAATGTCGAACACCGAAGAGAGAAGGCCCATTTGCCGACGGTATTGGGTAAAAGCATCTAGATACGTGCAGACAGCACTATAGTTAGCCTGACCAGCGTGACCCGTAATACCGACCAAGGAACTCAAAACAAGAAAGAAGTCCAGCGGCTGGCCTTCTACGGCCCGATGGAGATTCCATGTCCCGGATACTTTTGGTGTCAGTGCCGACTTCCATTCAGCATGGGTCATGTGTAGTAATATACGATCCTGGAACAGGAGCCTTGTTAGTGATGAGACACGATGAAATGTTCAGTAGCGTACCTGTAGGGAGAGAGCTAGGTTGATCTCGCCCGCAAGAGGTTTGGTGCAGCTAGACACAGCTGCCTTCACATCCTCTAAATTAGTCACATCTCCGGCGACGGTGATGATTTGACAATTCTGTGCCTCGAGCTCCTTGATGAATGACTGCTCCCTTTCTACGCGCCTAGTGGACCTCGACATGATTACGAGCTCTCGAGCGCCTCGACTTACCATCCACTGAGCAAGAACACGACCAACATCGCCAAGTCCTCCAACTAGAAGGTAGGAAGTATCAGAAGGGAAGGTAATACTGCACTGAGTTGACATTGCATGAAGTTCAGATGGCGACTCGGGCATACGGATAATGATCTTCCCCTTGTGAAGGCCACCTTGCAGGTATCGAAAGGCCTCTTGGACCTCCTGGGCGTGGAAAGCTCTCACTGGGAGAATTGGTCTGATTTTGCCTTCTTTATAGAGCTCAATGAACTGATGTCCCAGCCTGTATCATATACTTTAGTTCAAACTGTGGCTACTTATGTGATAGCTGTCAGCTACAGACCTTGTGGCTAAAGCTCGCTTGCTTCTCAACACTCCCATAAGGTCAATCGCGATGAAGGAGCAATTTTCGGAAAAGGAGACATGGAGAGCGTCCCATGTGTCAGAATATCCGGTTTTCCTAGCTCAACCATTTGGCCAAACTCAGCAACACAATCCCAGGAAACATGAAGCAGTTTACCGGCAAGAGAATTGAGGACTACATCAACCCCTCTACCGTTCGTCTCACGCATCAGGTCTGCGTAGAATGAGGATGACCTGGAGTCAGATATTATTTCTTGGAATACCAAAAGTCTCCAACAAGTACTGAACTTTTTCTTCCGTGCTGACTGTCGCATAGATCTAAATGCTGGTCGTCAGAAACTCGCTACCGGCCGTCCCTGGGGTTCTTACCTTAGCCCCGATGTTCTGGCACAGATGTATTGCGGCTATTCCCACCCCGCCACAAGCAGAGTGAATGAGGATAGACTGTTTCTCTGTCAGGATATGTAAAAAAAAGAGATCGACTCGTAATTCTGCTTACATCACCTCGATCAAGCACAGCGCGGTGTAGAAGAGAATAAATAACGGACACATATGCAGCTGGCATGGTTGATGCCTCTTCTAATGAGATACCATCAGGTATTCTCAGGCATTGCTCAGCAGGGATAGTAGCTAAGGTTCGAAAAAGCCCAAATCCTATTGCCAGGACTTTTGTCATCAACTTTTAAATCAACAACATTCGACCCGACTCGGCGTACAAGACCGCTTCCCTCCAAAGTTTAGCCCTCACTAGCAGCAAATCAATGCTGCTAATAGCTTTTTCGAGGTCAGAAAGCACCGGCTTTCCAAAAGGTATTCGTTTAACAGGCAGTTACAACCCTAACGCTCCAGTGATTAGGGGCGACCACTTATCCAAAAGGAACTCGGCGGCAGAAGCGATAGTTGTATAGGACTGGAGATACTGTGTCTCGGAATTTTATACTAGAAAATAATTAGTAACGCTAGATAGCTATAACTATTGTATGAGTAACTGATTCGACCACAGCTACCAGGGATCTCGTTGGATACGTCTCCTATGCTGCTGTTAAGATAATCGATTCTATTTTGAAGGTTACTACTATTGCTGTGCTTGCAGGAATAGTACCAGCTGATTTCTCTCCAGTAGTAGTATTTCTTGAAGTCTTGTTAAGTTAGGTAACTCTTCACTATGCTTGACAGCGAGGTTGATATCTCTTATATATCTGTATTCTTTATCTTCTTTTCTTTTAGCGACAAGTATGTCAAGACAAAATGCGGCGAAGTCCAGTTCGAAATTGGTTCTTGAGTCAATTTAGGGCTACTCCGTATGCTGTTAATTATGTAGTTGCAGGAGTAGATTTCTCGGACACCTGAAGTCCATTCTAGGTTATGATCTTCTGCTAAGCGAACAAGGGGCTGCCAAGGATTGTAACCACAGTTTCGAGGCACCTTCCGTCTATCAGCTCGTATTAGCCCACTTAGTTGGACTACAATGATACAAATGTAGTGTGTTGATCTCTACTACATTGAATTAGGTTACGCTCAAGCCCCAACATCGTATTTAACTGCGCCGCACAAACTGCAGATCGCTTTGGGCACAATTGCGCAGGAGTTGGAAAAGTGGCATGGCTCATAAAACGATCGTGAGTGAAGGCGCGGCGCGAACACGTTTTTCTTGCCTGCACCTGCTCTATTATCAAATGCTTCGCATTTTCACGTATATTGTCATTCGCAGACCATGTCCACCGCACCTGCGGACAAACCTCTAGGGATTCGGGCCACTCTCTGGCTCGAGAAATATATGCCCTGTGTATTTCTCCTGCTGTTTATCGTGCTGGCCTGTATATCCGGTGCCTTTTACCATAGAGTCTATCAACACCCGGAGCTTTTCGAGCCTCCATATAGCCCCTATATCAAGCCCGGTACAGACGGGCCGTTAATAACAGTATATCATCTTGTTCGGATCGCGCAAAAGCCACTAACCGGAAGTCTAGACATGTGTCGGTCTGGGAGTGTTCCTCCTGTCTATCTTCATATCACATAGTGGACTATGGTGGTTCGCTTGTGTCGTTACTCGCTTCGGTCTTACTGCGGGTCTCATCGCCTCTGCCGTCCTTCAATCGCGATATATGCCGCTGCCTCTCGGATCATGCGAAAATGATAACGAGTGGCGAGACCCCACTGGTATCCCAGAGGGAACACCCACAATGTTCGAGGTACTGCCGATTCAATCGGCCAGAAAGAAATTCGGTGGGCGTTCTAGAAATCGGCCATGTGATGCACTAGTCACTCTTTGGAGATTCGAGATTGCCTTAGCGTGAGCATACCTTTTGCGTTTGCCTCGCATTTTCTTTCCACGAATCTAACAACGCCAGGGTTTTGACCGCACTCTTGGGTTTATGTGCCTGCCTCCTCGCTGTGTATACAGTGATCGCAGATAATCCAGCGACATCGGCGCCTGCAGGTGCGGCTCTTCAGTGGCTTGGGAAGCCTTTCAAGTCTGCAGCGGGCTGGGGCAAGGGCAAACGTAGCAAGGAAGGGAAAGAAGCTGAGGCAAAACTCCTTGCTCCCGATCCCGAAGGCTTGGGATATGTCGATCACGAGATGGGCATCAGAGTCCGTCCGACGTGAATTGATTGCCATTTGAGGATCTCCTGTGCTATCAACAAGGCCGGCAACTATCTAAGTTCTTGGTGAAATTTAACCCGATATCTACCGCGAAGGTACGATGAGATAGTGTCGATTTGAATTTATGAATACTCCACTTTGTCATAATAGTGACTAAATATGATCCTAACTATAATTGCAGGTAGTATTGACTCTGCATAGTTGATACTGTCAATAAATAGAATTGTAGACTGCTGTCAGTTCTAAAGCTGAGATTGACTGCAGTCACGCTGGTCCGGTACTTCCACCTTTTTCCTCATCGACATCGGATCTGCTCTTCTTCACCATGCGCATTAATCTGGACTCAAGACGTTTCCATTGTGTACGAACGGCTTTCCCCAATATGGTAAAACCACGAGCAATAAGCTGGTACACCTTCCTGAAAGGATATCCCAGAAAAGCTATCAACTTCACTGAAATATCCAGCACAACCGCGACGTAGCGGTCCGGAAGGAGCTTCAGAACAGCAGCCCACGGTATACAAACGATTGAGCAGCCAATGCATATAGCCCATTGAACGCCATCCAACGGAGTGACGCTGAAGGCAGCACCTCCAACGAAGATGATGAGGATTTGCCCACCAACCATCAGCACATTGATTCCCATGAACCAGTAATTCCGTTGGATACCTTCGAATATATTGAACTTGTTGTCTAGGCGGCGGTTGTTGAGTTCATTAAATATCTGCATCCAAACGAAAGTGTTGAAGATTATTGTGTCGAGCTCTACTTGCTTTTGGTGGATGCGGGTGTCGTAACCCAGGATACGATCACCCGCGAAGTATAGGGTGAAACAGACGGCCAGTTTGTATATAGATTGCCCGATTATCATCTTCCACATCGTTACCGTGAACAAAGGAGCATTTCTTGGGACCGGAGGCCGTTGGAGTATTTTCTCTGTTGGGGCATCGGTTGCTCTGGATTGTGTTAGGAACACGAGCTCGACGTCCAGGCCCAACCGGGTGTCTTCTAATGTTGGGATCTGGGATAGAAGGAATCACTTACAGCGCTAAAGCAGCGAAGGTATCCATGATCAGGTTAACCCACAGTAGCTGGACAGCCTTTAGCACACTTTCATTGGAGTTGCTGTAGATTGCTGTTACCAGCGTGAGGAGAACAGCAGTGATATTGACAGTTATTTGGAACTGTATGATTGTTAGAATAAGGGAGAGGGAAGAGAAGGGCTAGAGAAGGAGAATGCAGAGCGCGAAGACTATGGCCTACCTGCAAGAACTTAGAGACAGCATCGTTGACAGCCCGACCCCATGCCATAGCCGTCACGATAGACTTGAAGTTATCATCCAAAAGGATGATAGAACTCGCCTCACGCGCTAATTCCGTTCCGCTGATGCCCATTGAAAAACCTACATCGGCGGACGTCAAAGCAGGTCCATCATTTGTCCCATCGCCTGTTACTGCAACCGTCTCACCAAGACGTTTTAGATGCTTGACGAGCATACGTTTGTCATCGGGTGATGAGCGAGCTAACACCTGCAGCCGTGGGATAATGGCATCCATCTCCTTTTCTGTTAATTTTCGGAACTCCGGACCCTCCATAACAATGCCGTCACCATTCTTGATTCCACAGGAGGTGGCAATGGCTGAAGCTGTATTAATATTGTCACCTATAGTGTAACCATTGTTAGGCCACTAGAGTTCAGATGAGGGAGAAGAACTGACCTGTGACCATTTTGACTTGGACGCCTGCTGAATGGCACGTTTTGATTGCTCCAGGGACTTCGGGTCTTAACGGATCATGGATTCCAAACGCCCCGATCCATGTCGTATCTCGAAGCAATAGCTCAAGGTCGGGCAAGCCCTTTCCGCCATCCGTATCAAGACTGGTAGGCCAGTCTACGAGGTCTGTGTAGACGATGCCAATTGTGCGTAGGGATTTCTTTGCATAGTCATCAATGGTATTCAAGATGGCCTGGCGAGTGCCATCAGAGATGGGTTCGGTCACTATCTGGTTTTCGAAAGACTGGCCCGTAGTTACTGTCCGAGTTGATGTGTTAAGTATGACCTCGGACGCCCCCTTAACAAGTAATCGATATCCAGTTGGCCCAGCACGATAGACAACCCCCATTGCTTTGCGACCAGAATCAAAGGGAAATATGTGTTCAATATGGGCATTCGCTCGCTCCTCAGTGAGATCCGTCATGTGTAAATAGTCTTTTGCAAGTTGAAGAAGAGCAATTTCTGTCTTGCTCCCAACAAATTCACGCCCACCATCTTGCTCCTCTTCGAAGGCTGTTGAGTTCAGGGCGATACTATCAATCAGCAGCTTTTTGAAAATACTCGGAAATAATCCTAGAGTCTCCAGTATTGTAGGAGATGTCGATGGATAGCCTTTCTCAGTTGGCTGCTGGTCAAAACGCTCATTGGCACCGAAGAATCCCATGACTACGGTCATCTTGTTCTGGGTAAGTGTTCCAGTCTTATCAGAGCATATCACGGTAGCATTGCCCATAGTCTCACACGCACGCAAAACTCGGACAAGGTTGTTCTCTTTGAGCATACGAGTGGTAGCGAAAGCCAAGGCAAGCGTCACGGCCAAGGGTAAACCCTCTTGAAGGTCATTAGTGGCATAGCGCAAGATACGGCCTACTATATATAGACGACTTACCAGGTATGGCAACCACGATGACTGTAACAGCGACGATAAGGATATCCATGAATTCCTGGCCTTTCACATTTGGCGAAGCATCGTTATCAGGTAGTTGCACTAGGAACCGGATTAAAAGGACGAAAAAAAGAAGCAAAGCAGCGCTACGGGTTTCTATTAGTAGGCAGTTTTGATCTTAACTGGGATTCTCACACCTTGTCCCAAGCCATCCTATCCACCCGGCCAATCTAGCCAGCTTGACCTGAAGGGGCGTTGGTTCACTTTCTGTCTGCAGGGATGCCATAATCCTGCCATTAGTAGAATAGCATCCAACGCTAGTCACCAAGTACGTCCCCATCCCCTCAAGCACCTTACTTCCGGAAATGATGAAGGGGTCTAGTTCCCTGGTGGCAGTTCCGTTGACGATACTGTTCCATACTTCATGACCACTGGCCTTGTCCATGTGGTCAGATTCACCTGTCGCTGACGACTCGTCGCATTTGATTCCGTGGCCAGAGATGATGACCCCATCGGCAGGTGGGGAATCACCAGGTTCAATGTGCAGGACGTCGCCGACTGTGATGTCGGAGATGTGTACCATAAGTGGCCGCCCCGAGCGGATCGCTGCAATATCGCGCTCAATTTTCTAGATGGGGTCAATTCAAATATTACATACAAGGGAAATATCAACTTACCCGTCTGTTTAATTTGGCAAACTGCCTCTCCTTCTGCCAGTCATTGCCGGCTGTGGCAGCCACCACTATTATAATAGCGACACATACGGCCACACCTTCAATCCAATCCACCTGAGACTGTCCGCTAGCTGCTTCGTATATACCCAGCGACAATGATATAACAGCCGCAATAGTTAACAGGATAATGATCCTATCATTATATGCATCCCAGAGTAGCTTGAGAAAATGTTTCCTTCTGGGTTCAGGCAATGCATTGCGGCCAAAGATCCGGATTCTGTCGAAGAACTGGGACGAGGACCTTTGCACAATAGGCGTCTGGCTATCGGCATTCAATAGTCGCGGCTGGCTGTCTAGCTTGGAGAAGGCGGACTTTGTGGCCTCGTCGAATGTTACGTATTCCGATATCCTGTCTTCGTCCACAGAAAGTCCGGCCGCAAGGTCAGTTTGAAGCCCAATTTCTAGACCCCTAAGGCCGCCTAAAGCATGGAAGGCGGCAAGGGATTTGGGATTCAGCAACTTGTTCAGCTGTCCGGGCGAGAACGCAAACTTATTGTCAACGACTTCAAAATCACGTTCATATTGTGGATCAGGAGCCAAAGCTTCGGACAGAGGGACATCGTCGTACTGAAGACTGGTTGACGAGATGTTGTCAGTGCTGTGAGTATACACCACATTAAAACTTGTATGGAAACTCTGGCCAGTCACGGTGGCCATGATGAATATTCGTTATATCAGTAATTGTTTATACCCATGCCGACCTTGAACTGGGAGTATCGCCAGTATTATGGCATACCATCTGAAGCGCTGTACGACCATCTTCACTGAGTTGATCGTGGCTGTGTTATGCAGTAGACCACAGAGCCAAGAAAGTCAAAGGACATATCCATGGCAAATAATGACATGGCTTCCTCAGACTAAATCGATGATTCTTGGAACATGGACGTCGACACGAGAGGACATGGCTCAGAGCTCACTGCTCGTTGTGGGGGTTGGGAAAAGCCCTTGATCCACTGCAGTACTATATAGAAGGCTTTCCATGGTCACGAATCAGCTACCCAGGTAGTTTTCCCAGCTAGGGTAGACTTTGCCATACATGAGCGATATTAAACAGTGAACAAATCACACATCTGAAGTAGATATCTTGACGTCAAAGATATCCACCGTTTTCCAGCCAATCAGAGATAACACAAGGTAAGATATGAAAGCTATAGACATCAGAGTAAGCTGTACAGCAAATCAGCCCATGGCCAGGCCATGCTCTATCATCCTGTGGAGTGGAATCTTGTGATCTGGACCGTTGTATAGCTCGGGGTGAAAAGTTTGGGTGAAAAGCACTGCCTCGCTTGGCTTCATCACCGATAACCTTATTTTCAACATCATCCGCGTCACATCAAACAACTCATAGGTCTTAACAGTTAACGTCCATATTTTAATTTTCAATCATTATTAGTTACTTGGTGAAGTTGATTGTTGTATATAGCTTGTTATTCTTCAATATCAAACGTGGAGCCAGTAATTGCCAATATGGTCACAGCAGTATAGCTGTTATAGATTGAGAGGCAAAATCGATACAAGATAGCAGGAAATGGGCTCTGTCAATGAAGTCCCACACAGAGGAGACTAGGTTAGCTACTCGTCTGGTTCGACTAGATCGTCACATGGACCATGGCAAGAGTAGTAGACATTATTGGTTTGATATAATGGCTCGTACACAATACATCTATGCGCGCCAAGTGACATGCTGACGAGTTGTTTAGTGCCAACCTCTTCGTATATCTCTCCTATTGAGCGATTAGTATCATTATGCCATCAGTCTGTAGTGCTTTGCAATGTATCCCATGCTGCGCCTTGTCCAATTTATATGATTGCTCTTGGCTACAGCAGCTACTACTGCACTTGTCTCACTCATTCTAAGTGGCTTCTAAGCCGAGTGACAATCGGAACTAGACGGATGATATCCTGCATCTATGCAGTCACGAAACAAGTTTAGATGGTTCTCTCCTGGATAAAATTACTTGCCGACACGAAACAGCCTTGCTTATTCGTTGCGAAGGCATGATGCGCCTGCCTCTATCTTTCTCCAGCTCAGGGCTATGGCGCCCAACTGCTGTACAAATGCTCATACGATACGCCAAATTACTATCGTTGCAACGTGGGGGCCATAATTCAACTTATTGTTAAGCATAAAAGGAGTCTAATTTCCCACCTCCAGCGCATCATAGTACTTCAAGTGAAAAAGCATGGGTCTCGATTTCGGACCTTATCTGCGACTAGCAGAACAGAGTCATCGGTTAGAGAGAATCTATTTGCCTAAGCGAATAACAGCTAATAAACCTGGCGCGACAGGTCTAGTACACCGGCGGTTTCGCTAGAGTTGAAAGCCCCGGAAACGTTGTACTTGGAGTCGCCTTTTGGAATTGAAGTGGTCCTGCGCCGAGATGATACCGACCCTCGCTCGTGTATCTTCTACTGGTCTCCTTATGCCCCGGCTGTACTCGCTGCTCAGTTCATCCTGTTCCGCCACACCCCCGATGGCCTGGAAAGAATTGAGGTGGGCAAGGGGTTGTGGGAAGCCCCTGACATGCTTTCTATAGCTAGACTAGGTCAGGGGCTGTTTGAACTTGAGCCAAACGGGAGTTCTCGTTATCTATTGGAACTAGGCGTACAGTATCGTGATGCACTCAGACCAGGTGAGAGATATGAGCTTCTCTGGCCTGGGGGAGAATCATTTCTCTGGGACTGGGGGAATATTCAGGGTCACCTGGGTGTGGAATTGAGAAGACGAGAACCATGTCTATTTATTCCGGGCTGTCATATCTCGTTTACGGTTGAGGAAGGGGAACGAATTATCCCATCTCCCGAGCCTTTGTCGCCCAGGGAACCATTATCCAGAGTGTATGCACTCTACCCCCCACGAATCCTCCTATTTTTCTTGTTCAGAGGCTGATAGTGCATGCCACGGACCTAGTCCAGGAGCTCCAATTCTCAGCGTGAATATCGAATGCCCTCCAACCGTTACTAAGGATCAGGACAAAAATGCGAAAGTCCATGTCATCTATCATTCTTCATCTAAGGGCCCAGGAGACTTAACCCCAATTACTTTCCATGTCTTCAACTTACTGGAGGGCAACCTTCAGCGGCAGCGTGGCCAGGAATGGGGATACTTCGAGTCCGAGGAGATGCCGTACCGGATATACGACGATCCAGATATTGAAGTTTCTCCCAGTCAGCATGCCGACTTTGTTAGCCTTCAGCCCGGAGATTCATGGACTCAGATGGATAGCCTGGAACTTCCTTCTGATATCAAGGTAGGAGAAGTCTTTAAGTACGAGTTCACCGACAGAGTACTTGACTGGTGGGACTGGGGTACGAAGGAAGATCAATTGCGGACCACGGTGAAGCTACCATGCTGGGTCGGAGCTGAAGTCATCGAGCCCAGGGATAATGAGGGGCGACCGGCTGTCGTGGTACCAGCGAGCAATGTTGTCGTGTTTACTATAGTGTGACTAGCCGCATGCATATTCCGACATCAAATGCTACCTTGAGACTGTGAAATTAAAAGATAGATACCCTGCAATAGGATGTCCCTGGTGGAGTCCACTAGGTCCTAGTATTGCAGGGGGTTCTATAATACTTACTAAAAAGTCCATCTCTTCCAATTTCTCCTTCTCTTTTTTGTCTCTCTTTCCCTTAGAATATATCTCATCTCTAATTGTAAGACCATGACTTCAACGGTTCCAAACTGAACTCGCCTGCAAGTTACACTTCCTGATTGTTATCAAACTAGTACCTAATCGTTTCAGCCTCCTGCTACTCCTTTCTATCCTCTCCTTCGTGCCCCAAATCTGTCACTTTCGCAAAAATGGGAACTCGGTGGGGATCTCCCTCACCTACATACTTTGCAATGTGATAAACACAACCGAGCAATTCACCATCTCCATCTCTTATCTCTTTATAGCACAAGACTCTTCCATCTTCATCTATAATCCGCCAAATACAGGGGATTGGTTAAATTTCCTCCAGCTAGCCGTGACCTGGGGGCTATCATCTACATTGTAAGGAAATACCAATTTGCAAAGTAACAGATGCTAATCCTGTACGATTCTTCGTGGGTGTATTCTACTCTCCAGCTCGCCTTGGTCGCAAGATTTTCATTACAGGAATGTATATCGCATTCCTCTCTATCTCTGCCTTTGCCGCAGTTCTTTATATCCTTACAAATCCCTGTGGAGCGAGCCGCGGAAGCGAATGCTTGCTAGATGCGATATTTATAGGTTCACACATGATCTTCGTTAATCCTATCGTGACTCTGCTTGCTATCGCAGCATTACCGGTCCAACTTCGAGAACTGAAGCTGCACGGACATGCAGCGTTAAGTCTCACGGGTTTAGCAAGCCAAGCCGTGATATTCGCGGTGCTGGCTTTGAGCTGGGCTTTCCGTGTGCCACTGGATTATAATCTGTCTGATTTCTTTCAGACATCGGGGTCTTTCATTAGCTGGTACCAGCTTGTTGGCTGGGCAGCCATTAATAATTTAGTCTATGGTTATACAAGGGGTCTTGTTCTTAGTTGTGTTAAAAGGGAAGAGGACAGCATTGGCGGAAGGGAAGAATTAACCCTTATTGAGACATTAGGTAACATATTAGTCGTACTCCAGAGTATGCTAGGTTACCTACTATGGTATGATGGGGTTGTGTTTGATTTCATTGCTGAGCGAAAAGCGGCGAGAGTAAAGGTAAAGCCTTGAAGATGTTTAGCAAATCAAGTACACATGAGGTTCAACTTGGGCCTTGCGTTGAATCTATATATGACCATGTCTGATGTCTGTTGTATACCCAAACAAATTGTCAAGTTTATACACATTATAAGAAGGGAAACATTCTAATCGAGGTTGCTCAACGACATTTGTTACAGAGCCTATACAGAATCGGGCTGTTAAGTAGTATACAAACCCCCCGAATCACGGCTTCTAGTATATTGTATCTAGTTTCATATAGCTGTACCTTACCTTCGCTTGGGGTCTTCACTTGTTGTTAAACTTGCCCCAAGTAGGTGCATATCTAGGTACCAGTGCCACCGTTATCTTAGCTGGGAGCCTATAGTGGGGAATTATGAAATTGCGGACTTGACCGCCCGCAAAGTCTAGCCTTCAACGGCCTTTCAATAAGTGAGTATTTAGATAGCCCTCTCACGCTGTATGTACATTTACAACTAATGATTATCCCCGGCCCCAAATAACCGACCAGCTTTCTCGTCAACCACATCCCAACATTTCCCCATCCTAAAAATGGACTATCTTAGCCAGGAAATCTTGCAATTAATCATTGCTCATCTCCTCGAAGTCCCGCCTATCAAACATCCGCCTCAACCGGCTCCCAAGGTTGGCCAATACGCCACAATCTCGCGCAAATGGCAATACGCCGTGGAACGTTTCACAATGGCAGATATCAAGAAATACAGTTCCGATTTGGACATGTTCCGGCAGGTATTCTCCACTCCGCGACGGAGAAAGTTGCTGCGCAAGCTAGAATATGAAATCGATCTGCCCACCTACAGCACGAACCGTATACAGTGTCTTGAAAGAAGGAGGGAGAGCAAAGCCAATAATGAAACTTTCAAGCGAGGTGTCATGGACTTATTTGATGAGATGTCCTCGTGGAAGACACAGGGCGTGGACTTGGCACTTACTGCATCCTCGCCTATGGATTGTCATCGGCGATCACCGGAGCTTGACCGTGGGTTGGCTGACAAGCGATGGTGCTTTGAAGATAACTACCTTACTTTGGACAGTGAGGCTTCTCTGCCCCAGTTACCGTTTGTTGAAGGATTGAAGATCCCCAATGCACGACGCTCGCTGCATCCCTCGGCTATTGGGAAGATTATCTCGTCGTTACCCAATCTGGAACGGTTGGCTATGGAGTTAAATGCACCCAAGGCTAAACGTGTGGAAATGCAGAGTGAACATCGAGCGTGTAAGATATCTTGTCTACTAAACTGATACCTTACTGACTATCAAAAGCCCTTGCAAGTGCACTGAAGTCACCCCCGCTAAGTAACTTGCGGGCATTGGATATCTACATCGAGCAAGACATCCTATACAACCACAACTTCAAGAACCAGCCTACCGACCCTCAATTTCCAGATGGAGATGTCTTAAATATCGCCATTCGGAAATTAGCCGAAGACACCCATCTAACAACCCTGAATCTCACAGGATGGTGGCTGGTCTCGCCTGCGCTCTTCAACACCGACAAAACATTCCCATATCTGAAAAAAGTGCAGATCCAAGGAGCGCTCATCACATATGATGGCCGATGGTATTATAATGGCAACCCTGCAGATGTCGAAGCGGGCTATGAATCCACTCGGTCTGATGATGAGGATGGAACCGACTCCGACACCAACTCTTCCTTTAATTCGGAGTTCCAGGACTACCTGCCCGAACGCAGAGAGGCGCTTCTGAATGGTCGAAGCCCCTGCCATATGTGGAGGACGCAACCTGATCCGCAGATGTTCGATCCTCTCATGCAGACCATGGCTACTGCGATACTCCGCATGCCTCGACTGCGGACTTTCTCCTTCTCGATTGGGTGGAGTTATATGGATGAACATGCAATTTTATTTGAATACTTGACGCCTGGAGAGAGGCCCGACTCTTTCAATTATCGACCACACGAATTGGACATGACCCGGTGCTACGTGACACTCATGCGGGAGGCGAGGTGGGAGGTTCCAGGTGATGTTGCGACTCTATGGAAGGAGGCTGTGGGGGATAAAGGTATCGTTGCTGTTGAATCTGACTGGTAACTTGGTTTAGATAAAGAAGTGGTTGGGTTATACTTCCAATTGCCGTGGGATGTGATTGGGTCCATGAGTGAAGACGCAAGCCATTGTTAATGATATAAAGATCGATATAATTAGATTTTAAAGAGAAATGAGACATAGAGATAAATCGAACCGCAGTGATCCAAGCAATAGAGGTCAGTTACAGGTAAATATTTGAAGTTAGGATCTTTGAGATGTATATAATAGTCATGTGATAATATTCTTAGATTAAATAAACTCGTTATTACGAGATATCACAAGTACGTTCCATAACATCCATCAACCCATCTATGCAGGTAAATAGCTGTGACACAGAGACCCGTCAATCTCGTATTTGCGTCATGATCTACAGGGCTGCTGAGTCACCGACACCACGCAGCTTGACAATGGGGCAGTGACAAGGCTGACTCCGACTTCAAGTATAGAATATAAAACTTACCATCTTTTCGCTATTTTAACGCACCAGATCACTCCTACCATTCCCTAAGTAACCTCCATCCAAGGAACCACAATGCCACCATCCCTAACCTCCCGCACCTTAGGCTCAGTATGGGGAGTCTGCGTCGGCGACGCCCTAGGCGGGCCCGTCCAATTCATGGACCCAGGCAGCTTCGAGCCCATCACCGGCCTCGGATACGTGAAACCGTTTAACCAGCCCGCAGGGTAACTAATCACCCCATCCTGAGTTACAAACCCCAAACACCCGATACTGAAAAAGGAAATAGATCCTACTCCGACGACGGCTCCATGACTCTAGCCCTAGCGCAGTCCATCATCGATTCCCAAGGCAAATACAACCACGCCTTATCCATCCAGTATTTCGTAGACTGGTTCTCCACCGGTCGATTCAGCACGATCAACCATGCCTGGGACGTGGGTCGCTCGACGCGCTCTGCCCTCCAGAGCTGGCGGAAACGGGGCACAGAGAATCTTCAGTGTACCCAGGATGTCGTTAATCGGAAGCTTGATGTGGAGCAATCCTCAGGGAACGGAAGCTTGATGAGGATCGCCCCTATTGGACTGGCTCTGTGGCGCGATCAGGGGGAAGCGACAAGAGTAGCTAGAGAGCAGAGTCGGGTTACGCATCCTGCGCTGGCGTGTTTGGAGGCGTGTGAGGTACAAACGCTTTTGATTTGTGGGGTTTTGTGTGGTACGTGTTTCTTTTTCTTTTTCGTTTTCTTTCACTTTCTTTTCTGTTTTGGGGCTGTTCTGGGGGCTTGTGTTCCATGGTTGTTTGTGATTTTGCCTTTGGGGCTGGTGTGGTTTCTTTATTTTTTAATTTAATCTTATTTTATTTTACTTTTTCTTTTCAGGGGGAACATTTGCTGACTGTGTTGACTGATACCAGGCGAGAGCAAAGAGCAGCTCTGCGATAGAATCAACGGGTACAAGTTCACTCACGATGCCCTTACACAGCGACTCTCCCGCTACAAGACAATGTCCGACTGGCAAGCAAAATCGGCGCCGGACATGCACAGCAGCGGATGGGTCGTGGACACGCTCGAAGTGGCCCTGTGGGGATTTTTCAAGTTTGATAGCTGGGCTGCGGGCGCATTGGCGGTGGCAAACCTAGGAGGCGACGCCGACACGGCGGCGGCAGTTTACGGGGGTCTAGCGGGCGCCTTTTATGGATCTGAATCGATACCGACGGAATGGGTCGACGGCATGCAGAATAAGGGGTTCATTGCGGAGGTTGCTGGGAAGCTGGCGGAGTTTGTTTCCAGCGGGGTTTCGAATTGAACTGGTTACACTGGGGAGTTGTGTTAGGGGTACTAATACTGCGTGCTTGAATAGGGGATGGATGGCTGGAAAGAATCTTGCAAATGTGATAGGTATACTTACTGTGTATGTACTATGTACTGTGAATAAGGGTGTGGGGGTGTGGAGAGACGATCTTTGCATAGTCGGTACTTCTTGCGATTTGACTATGTTGATCAGCACGTCATATCGTGGATGGAGCTCATCCTGCATCGTCTCACTTCTTTACCCTTTGTATTTTGTATGGCCTAGATCTTCTGTAGATCATCGTCCTTTCTGATTGGAGATGAACTTTAACTCCAGATAAAGGGGTCGCGCGCACAGCCCTACTTCCCTTACTTCACGTCACCCCTTTTGTGGGTTGTCACATATTGTCGGATTTGGGCTGTTTTCTTGTCTACGAAGTGGTCGCAGAATTTGTAAATGTTCTCAATTGACAGGACTGTTGGGATAGCAGTTGTATTAGCTAATACCGATACAATTAACGACAAAGTGCTTGGGAATCAATATTACAGCGCAGAAGTACAACTATGTAGATAAACCTATTATGCGACATCCCCATAATGATTAATACCTTTCCATCCTTTCACATTCTCCCATTAACAATCCTGCGTGAGATCACCGAATCAAGGACCTGAGCTCATTTACAGAGCCCAGATACCGAAGGCGACACCAGCAATACCGGCGGCAGAGACACCAAGCTGAAGCTTGGCGACAGAGGCAGCATTGGTCTCGGAGCTGGTGGCAGCAGTTCCAGTGCTGGTACCAGTGCCACTAGACTTAGAGCCCGAAGAGCGGGAGCCGGAGGATTCTGTGCGATTGAATGTTAGTTGAACTGCATCCAGACCACAGTAACGCCATGGTGCAAGTCACATACCGCTGGAATCGGTGGAAGAGCTGTCCTTGCCAGTGGTGGTGGCAGAAGAGTCGCTGGCGGAGGTCTTGGAAGCTCCAGAGTTACCCGTGGCAGTGATGGGGAAGAAGTGGCTGCTGTAGCAGGAGCTCTGGCAGGCGGCGTAGCGGTCAGTGTCAGCCGGGGTACCACTGCCCTGGGGGCAGGCGGCGACGCAAGTATTGGTGTCGTTAGCCTGAGAGTCGTTGGGGCAAGGGACCTGGAAGCATCCTGCGATGCAGCACAGATCGGTTTGGTCGCCTGGTCTTGGTTAGTTTCGCGGTGCATTTCGCGATCAGGGAGAGGGACAAGAGAGAGCAAGCAGGGAAAGGAAATATGGCAACTTACACTTCTTAGCGCAGGACTGTTGAGGAGTCAAGCTGACAGTCGTCGTAGGAGCAGCAGTGGTGCCGGTGGCTGCCTCAGAGGTAGAATCGGTCGACTGAGCCGCGGTCAGGGCGACCAGGGAAGCCAGAGCAATGAGGTTGAGCTTCATCTTGACGAATTGAAAATGACAAAGACGCTGAAGCGATAATCAAACTCGAGGCAATTAACGAGTGTATACAAACGCGACAAGCAGATAGTACGTGGTTAACGAAGGACTGTGGAGAGAAAAGGGAGGAAGAGAAAGCAGAGGAGAAAGACGGGGATTTAATTAAAAGCTACCTAAAGTGGGGGGACTGCCCAGTTTTTTATTTTTATTTTTACTCTTCCTTGGTTTGGGGTGAATTTTACTTTTCTTTCAATTTCCATTTTCTTTTTTATTTTTGCAAAACAACAGGGGGACAAACCCAAGAAGAAGTAATTTAGTATCAGGGTTGTTGCCGTATGATTGAAACTCGGATACTCTTTTTCTCGTCAATGGAATGATCTGATTCGTTGGGTTTCACGACAGCTTCGGCTATGGCCCTGACGGACCAGTCAAATCGAGCGACCCTGGAGATAGCCGGCCGACAGTTCCAAGTTTATAGGCCGACCAGATCGAAAAACCGACAACTTTGGTCTAGTCTCGAAAGTTACTGGTGGTTTCATCCACCACTTTGCCTGCCATTATTCGTTGGGGGTTGCTGTAAGGGAGAACTTGAAGGGTTACAGTGAGCTTCTCTCCTGCTGCACCATTGGGATTGGTGTTTGTGATCAGTCAGATGACGGTTGGCCCTAATTGAATGTTATCCTCGCACGTTGGGTCTTAGTGGAAGGGTCTCTGAAGAGTGAAAATCTGGGGGGATCCATTGTCGGCCAAAAATAGCCCCTAGGGTGCTCCTTAGACTCGGGTGTTGTCCTGTTGTCCCACTCTTTGGGTGGCCACACGAGCTGTGGGCCTTTTTAGTGCCGCAGACTTTGGATTGTTGTCCAAGTGACATGGCAGTGGCAATCATGAGGTTGCAATCGACTAGTTCATTCTTTGGCTTTCCACCGCGAATTACTGCTGTATTGATACTATCGACTAGTAAATTGAAGTACTGATAGAGTACTATCGAAGTAGTGTTACAATAACTGAATTAAAGTCAACATGTTTGCCTTCTTTGAAGAATGGTTAGCTGACAGGTCATGTGCCCGTCCTAATCGGGCTGATTGCTTTATCAATACAAACACAGCAAACATCCTTATCATTCACATGATTTCGCGACACCGCGTCGCGCGGAAGTCAACGCGGAATTAGTAGTAGGACGAGTGTGGAAATCGCAAGTCCGGATATCACGCCACGGAAAATTCCCTGCTCGACATGACGGGCTCGGATGCTAGCTCGGTCGATTACTTCCATGAGGGATTTGATGATTTAACAGACGATGGATTCTCCGATGCTGCGAAAAACGCGGCCAGGCCCTCGCCGCGGTCAGCCAAGCGTCGCCGTGTGGATGATGCTACCGCGTCCAAGAGACGGCAATCGTCCGGGAATAGAAAATCGCAACAATATCGCGATGATGGTAGCCCTCGGACCGACTCTAACTCCTTTGTAGTCGATGACAATGAGGGCAATTATGATGAGCCCCAGTCGCCCAGCCAAGACTCGTACTTCGAAGACACGGAGGCCCCGTCCAAGTACAAAGTATTCATTCCCAAGCGCAGTAACATCCAGGAGAATATCTTCGTTACCCAATTGACCCAACCGCCGTCACCACCAGAAATGATTCGTGGACCCCGCTGGAAAAAGCCAGAGCCCAGCATCGCGCGGGCCAGCACCATATCAGCAAAAACGAGCGCGGGAGGAAGAGCTGCACCGAAAGCGCCTGCTGCAAGCGGCGATGATTTTGACGATGAGGACCTAAATGCTGCTATTGCAGCATCGCTAGAGTCTTTCGAGAACGAGCAACCCCGGCCTCCCCCTTCAAATACAAAAGCCCCGACACCTCAACCGAGTACGCGCTCTTCTACAGAACAAAAAGAGGACACAACAGATACATCCTTCCTTTTCGAAGATATACCCGACGATGCGTTCGACTCAGATCTATCCTTGTCTCCGCCAACTAGAGCTCAACCTCAACCCGCGACCAGACAATTCCCGCAGTCCTCAAACCGCCCACTTGGAATCCGCCAAACCTCATTATTCGACATGACATCCCGAAGCCAAATAACCCAACCGCCCATTGGAGAGCAGGTATTGTCTCCACCAGAAAAGGACGAACCTCCGACGCAGCATAGGCTGGATCAAGAGACTCTGAGCACCTGGGTCTATCCAACGAACCTTGGCAAAACGAGAGACTACCAATTCAATATCGCTCAAAAAGGGTTATTTCACAACTTGCTTGTAGCACTCCCCACGGGTCTAGGAAAGACATTTATCGCTGCGACAATTATGCTTAACTGGTTTCGGTGGACCCAAAGTGCCCAGATTATCTTCGTGGCACCCACAAAACCTCTTGTAGCTCAGCAAATCTCCGCTTGTTTTGGTATAGCAGGAATTCCACGATCCCAGACAACCATGCTCACAGGCGAAGCCGCGCCAGGTATTCGAGCGGAAGAATGGCAAAACAAGCGAGTGTTTTTTATGACCCCGCAAACGCTGATCAATGATCTCAAGTCCGGCATCGCAGACCCGAAACGGATCGTCCTGCTTGTGGTTGATGAAGCACATCGTGCGACAGGTGGTTATGCCTACGTGGAAGTTGTGAAGTTTCTTCGCCGATATAACCAGAGCTTCCGTGTTCTGGCTCTGACGGCGACGCCGGGCTCTACGGTGGAGTCCGTTCAAGCCGTCATCGATGGACTTGATATTGCCCGAGTCGAGATACGCACGGAGCAATCTCTCGATATCAGGGAGTACGTTCATGCGAGGAACACCGAAGTCCAGACGTTCAAGAACTCTGAGGAGATGGTTCTCTGCATGGATCTTCTATCTAAAACTTTGCAACCACTTGTCGACCAGCTCCGCACCCTCAACGCCTACTGGGGAAGAGACCCGATGATGCTCACGGCCTTTGGGCTCACTAAGTCGAGACAGCAGTGGATGGCCTCAGATGCCGGTCGCAACGCTCATTTCGGACTCAAGGGCAAGGTGAACGCAATATTCACCGTTCTCGCAAGCTTGGCACATGCCATTGACCTTCTGAAGTATCACGGGATTACGCCCTTCTATCGTCACCTCTTGCACTTCCAGTCCAACACCGAGGGCCAGAAAGGTGGCAAATACCAGCGCCAAGTTGTGCAGGATGACAGCTTTAAAAAGCTTATGAATCACCTTCAGCCGTGGACCAAAAATCCGGAGTTTATCGGGCATCCAAAGCTGGAATATCTAAAATCGGTGGTTCTGAATCATTTTATGGATGCTGGTGAAGGATCCAATGGAGAATCAGGTGACAGCCAGTCATCCACGAGAATTATGATTTTTGTACACTTTCGGGACAGTGCCGAAGAGGTGACGAGGGTGCTGAAAAGATATGAGCCCATGATCCGACCTCACGTTTTCGTTGGGCAATCCAGCGCGAAGGGCTCGGAGGGCATGGACCAGAAGACACAACTTAGTATTGTGCAGAATTTCAAAAAGGGCACGTACAATACCATTGTCGCAACGTCCATTGGTGAGGAAGGTTTAGACATCGGAGAAGTCGACCTCATCGTATGTTATGACTCTTCTGCATCGCCAATTCGGATGCTTCAACGGATGGGACGTACGGGACGAAAAAGGGCTGGAAACATTGTCCTCCTCCTCATGGAGGGTAAGGAGGAAGAGTCGTATATCAAAGCCAAGGACAACTATGAGAAGATGCAGCAGATGATTGCTAGTGGCTCCCGCTTTACGTTCCACGAAGATATCTCCCCCCGTATTCTGCCAGCAGGAATACGGCCGGTAGCAGATAAACGCCATATTGATATCCCGGATGAAAATGCGGATCAGGGCTTACCAGAGCCAAAGAGACGCGGACGAGCTCCAAAACGGCCACCGAAGAAGTTTCACATGCCTGACAATGTCGAAACCGGCTTCACTAAAGCTTCGTCCCTGGCAGCGGGACCCAAGTCCAAAGCTGAGAAGAGTAGGAAGCCTCGGATGCCGACCCCGGAGCCGGTGGAGATCCCGGCTCTTGAAGAAGTAGTACTGACCTCGGCACAGCAACGAGAGCTGGAGCAACACTATCGCAATATTGGGGCCACTAGCCCACAATTCATCCGCAACCCGCGGAATGATGCATTTCCTCGCCTCCAGCTCGTCGCAAGACCTACCAAGGTCGTGAAGCACGGATCGTTGACACGTCGTATGATTGGAACATTGCAGAAGATGAATAGCGTTGGCCCGGATTGTGAAGAACGCTTCAAGAAGATTCTTGCTCAGGAGTCAACCAAGGACGACTCGGTGATCCCCAGTCGGTCGCCTCGTCGTGAGCGCCATAGAACGCTATCAAAACCCAAACCTCGTTCTAACCATTTATCTGCATCGGTAGATAACCAGACATTGTCTACTGAGGATTCTCCCCCACCAGTGACCCCGGAACAACTATTGTCTTCTATTGTGAACGGCCAAAAACAACAGCCATTTTATTCGTCCCAAACTAACAAGGATGATGACTCGGACGACAACTTCGATCCCCCTGACCTCAATACCCTTCTTACTCGGAGCGCTGAGCGCCACAATGCACAGAAATCAAGTCGACTCGTCGGTGATGACAGTGATGATTAGGGTTGATTATTGTCATGAGTGATGACCTTTTTTTTTTTTTTTGGATAGATCTATTGTGTAATATACGGCATTGGAATTGAGCCATTGGATATCGACATATTCACTACTAGTAGAAGGCAGCGTACATCGTCTATGGGGAAGACAATGGTCTAGCCCTGTGGATCCTTAGGCCTGGAACTAAGATCCGAAAGGTACACTAAAGTCAGGGTGAGTCATGAGATTGGTTCCCGATGTCGCCATGAGCTGCCCGCCAAGAAGCTGATGGGTCGGCGAATTCGGACGAAACTGCCGTTAGCGATTGAGATACAGCTAAAGGTAACTCATACCGAAGAAAGTCACCTTTCCATCATCCTTCCCTGCTTTCCCCTCAATTACCCCAATGTTGCATGCGACGATGTGAACGTAGTCATGTGGGTTTCGAAAGGGTATAAAAGGATTGGGGGGAGTAGGTGGGCTGCTTCAGGCACTTCTCATCCAGCAGTCACGGCTTTCTCCAACATCCACCTCATCTTGATATTTCCATATACCCTAATCCTTTGAGAAAGATGAAGTCGGCCCAATATGTTCCTCAGATCATCGCAAGCCTCTCTCCCACGCCCGCAATGGAGATCCGTCTAACCAGTAAACAAACAGTCTTCACAACTGGCGATACACTCCAGGGTGAACTGGTCTTCCACCGAAGAAATGCTCCTCGGGGCGCTCGCGTCTCCATCACATTGTTTGGTATGACCACCAGACTAACCCTACCATGCGCACTTCAAACTAAACATAGACTGACATACCACCACAGGAAGAACATCGACAACCGTAACAAAGACCACGCCCTTCCCCAACAGCGGCAGTATAGTCGACTACACCTTTCTGCAAATGCATCACAGTGAAGCCCTGGAAGCATGTCATGATCGTCGTATCTTACCTTTCTCATTTGTCATCCCTGATGCTCTTCCATCCAACCCATGCTCTGAGCATGTTCCCTCTGGAACGGCTGCTCATCGTGGAAAGGATCATCTCCAGTTACCTCCCAGTGTGGACTATAACTCGGATAGATTCTGTCCTGAGATGTGCAGCATTATCTACTACGTCCATGCCGAGGTGGACGTGGGTAATCAGCGGCTTCATGCCACACGGCAGGTCCAGCTCCTCCCTCTGTACCCTGAACAACCACCTCGTCTGTGGCCAGAGGGAGAAGGTAGTGAGGTCCAGATGTCTGACACGACCGGTCTTCGTATATGTCTCCTAGGTGCGAAAACGGGGCTTGTCACGTTGCGTGCGCGAGAGGCAAAGCCGCTCTATCTACCTCCAAATCAACATCATGGATCAGCTATGGCTCCTATCCGCTTTGATCTAGGCCTCGAAAGCCTCCATCCGGAGCTCACTTTTCCAGACAATTGTCAGGTCAAGGTCACTTTGGAGGCTGCGACGTATTTTACTTTGTTGCCGATGGACGAACTGCCGAGCTGGCAGAGTGCAGCCAAGGGACAAGGTCAGTGTTTCCGGGCAAGTGTGTGCTCGTGGAAGAATAAGTCTGTTGGTCTGCAGTGGATGGAGAAAGCGGGCAATATGCACACTGCTAGTCTTGTCGTGCCAATACCAGTATCTGGTGATGTGGCTCTTGTCCCGACGTTCCACCATTGTTATGTAGCCCGGGAATATTTTGCGCGCGTTGAAGTGACGGTGGGTTGTTCGAGGACGTTGCGAGTGAAGGTGCCCGTTCAAATCTATAACTCACTGGAGCGTTAAATTATCCTCATCATAATATAATCCCACAAAAGTATATGCTTATGATACTCTATTCCCACATATCTCCAGGTCTTAATCCATAAACCCTACCAAATTACGCTCGCAACCCACTCCTCCCCCTAACCCCATCCCCATGCTGTAATAATAACAAACGGAATAACCCGCATGGACCCCCTCAAAAACCTCAAATGACTACACCCCCACGCAATCGCCCACTTTGAGGTGTAAGTAGGCTGAGAGTCAAGAGGAAGCCAAAGTAGCCTCCCCGTGTCTGTGTCGATTACCCAGTTGTTTTGATCTCAACCTGTGGCTCAGGAACACCACATGTCTGTCTCGCTTCCGACGTTGATGTTGAAGATTTCCGTACGGCCTTCCTTCCAAGTGGCATGCAGGCAATTCTCATCAATACCGAATTTACATATCCGGTCTATTGACCTCAGCTCCTAGAGTCTGTAGTAGACCGCCACTTTCTACACTCCAGAGCTTGATGGTATCCCTCATGCTATTGCGAGTACTTGACTGTGATGAAAATGCTGCTATATAATTTGCATGGTCAGGATCTCTGCCGGTTCTAGCATGGGTTTTGCTTTGCTGTTGTTGCATTCCACGAGTCTGAACCTCCAAATCACCACCATGAGGCAGCCCATTGGTTGTAAGGAGGCAATAACACACAGCATGGATGGATCATCCGGTGATAGGGAGCTTTGGTGTAGAACCTCCAGAGCTCATATCCCACAGCCTCACATCGCTGCCCGGTTGTCAGAACCTGATTATTGGCAAAACAGCCATAACCGGGTGTAGTTAGCGTGGAAGGACCTTCGAACTTTCCAGGGCCCAGACCCCATAGAGATATGGCTGCGTCTTTGTTCGTTATAAGATATTGATAGTTGGAGGAAGCCCTTTTATTTTTTTTTTGATTAACTTGTTAGATTACCCCCCCCATTGAGTACACCATTGCAAGGACGCTTGATGAGGGCGGTGGCTGGTTCGGTGATATCTTATTATGATTTAGTATAGCTCTCTAGAGGCTAGGGAAGTGGGATACACGAGCTTCCTTATGAGATGTTTCCGACGTACATGGGGCCATAAATCTTTCCAATATAATAAGGCTCCAGGATATCTTTGGACCCCAACTCCCAGAAGGGGCTGGTGGACATCAACGCTGCAACCTGCACATCTCGATCGAACTCAAGTTCCTGCCGAGACATATGTACCAGTATTCCGGGGCATAAACTCCTGCTAATATAGAATCATATTGAGCTGTGTTAGCGTCAGACGTGATAAAATTGAAAGAGGAGAGTTGACCACCGGGCAAGGAGAAAACATGCGAAATCGGTTTTAGGCTAGGCCCTAGCATTGACACTACTGCAATGCAACGTGGGAACCCCCGTGCAATCATATCACAATGACTGACTCGCACTGGAAAAAAAGTACGTAAGGATGTATTCGGGTGCAAACGGGCCACATAAGCTTAGTGTTAAATCACTGTCTCTTTAGAAGTGGACAAGTTAACCCTACGAAGTCTATGAAACTGTAGATATTTCAGATCAATATCGATTTCGCTTTGGTTGACGGTATGATGACTCTTGCTTCATGGGGATCTATGAGGTAACTCTATCTACTACTCCTATACATTCGGCTTGGCGCACAAATGTGGATATCGCTCCAAGGCACTATCCAGTACCTTGCCTATCAGCATCTCGTGATTCATACCATTGTGAAGCGCTGTTACAGGCAGGGCAGACCCGCTTGGGCGAAATCCCGGCAAAGGGCTTATCTGCAATATGATCAAGATTAGCTGAGAAGGTATACAGAGTCCCAATCGGCGCAAAGCGATATGGCGTGATCGTTACTTACTTCTAAAACATATGGCCTCCCATCCGCTCCAAAACGGATATCCACTCGACCAATATCGCAACACTCCAACACCCGCCAGGCCTGCAGAGCTAGATCCTCCGCTTGCTGAACCTCGGCGGACTCTTGTCGGGTAACCACCCTCTTCCCAACGTAACTCTTGTTGGAAGAATGGAAGAAGTCGCTGTGGGCTGACGGCGCCGTCTCGGCATCTGAGGATTTTGGTCCACTTGGGCCATCCCAATTGAGATGCATCGTGCCTATGACTCGGGACGACCGGCCAGTGCCCAGGACGCTGACGGTATATTCACTTCCCGCGAGGAAGGGCTCGATCAGGATACTTTGTCGCGGGAAGCGAGTCTGAAGGGTCTGAATCCCCTCTTCGAGCTCCACAAGGTTGTTCACCTTTGAGAGTGGGTAGATTCCCTTGGAAGCTCCCTCACACGCAGGCTTGATGAAGAGCGGAAACTGGCCGTGCAACGTTTGACAGTGTGGAGCCATCTCCAGGAGATCCATGACTTTGCAATCTGCCTTGGTCCAGAAAGCAGGAACAACCGCAAAGGGTGCCGTTGCGATACCTGATTGTTGAAAAATCATCTAGATGATTGGTCAGCGAACCAAAAAAAAAAAAAAAAAAAAAAAAAAAAAAAAAAAAAAAAAAAAAAAAAAAAAACAAAAAAAAAAAAAAAAAGAAGCACTGCATGAAACAGGGATCGTCTGGCAGAAACGACTCATCATACACACTTTCGTTTTGCCCTTGTCCATGCACAAGGCGAGGGTAGCTGCATCCGAGAATACGTGAGGGATTTGATAGGCTTCTAATAGTCCGGGGATCTGCGCTTCACGACCAGTGCCGTGCATTCCCTCGGACACTGAGAAGGCAATGTCCCACCGCTCATGTTCGCCTTTAGCCATCCGCTGGACGAGTTCCTGGATGTCACCTACACGCACGGCTTCGTAGCCATTGCTTTCAATCGATGCCGCAATGGCGTCGATGGTCTCCTCGGGGTGGAACTCGAGGCAATCCTCCGGGTTGTAGCCTCGGGAGCGATAAGTAGAGGCTATCTCGTAGAATAATGCTACGACAAGGCGGTTGGTCATATTTGGTTGTAGTATGAGGCAGACACTCTTCTGATGGTATTAGCTACATGTTTCATACATAGACACTTAAATAATCCTGTTAATGGTGACCGTGAAGAGCGGTGTAATCAAAGTTTGGGGATGGCTTGCGGGCTATCCTGTTAGGGTTCGATTATTCTCTGCATACGTGGCCACAGAAATGTGGATCGATTAAATTTAAACCAGGCTACGGCTGTCTAATAACTAGTTTAGTTTCTAGCCGCTTGATGTGCTCTCGCTTTTGCCAATATGTCAGGATACCACTTTTGCCCCACCTCCGGGTGTCGCAGGACCCGAACAGCGAAGAGCTCATCCCCAATAGCCGTCCCGGGTTTGGAGGAGTCGCAGAACCACCGCTTTGCATCGGACTTGGGCTGTTCACCATGGACCAGCCGAGAAATATGGGCAGGGATCTCAACAGACATGGCATCTCTTGAAAGGTCTAGACTGAGGTTTTGGAAGAGTGCGAACGAGAATCGCGGTCCCAAGGTACACCCGTCCGGGCTGGTGAAATTCCTCCGACTGAGCGTCACCCTGTGGGTTGTCGCTGTACAGATCCTGCCCGTGACCGACTCCATCTGCCGACCAAGATTCACCACCAATGTCCCAGGCAAGGGAGGAACGGGAATCCACACGCCAGACTTATTCTGAACTTCGAGTCCGCCATGCGTCGTTCCCTGCAGGAGAAATGTCAAGAAGCTTCCATCCGTGTGAGCCAGATGACCCTGAAGTTTGTCCACGGGTCCAGTGGACTTGGGCAGGGAATATTTATTGAGGGTAAAGCGACTCGTGCATTGTTCGTCGAAGAAGTCGAGGAACGCTGTTGACTTGAGATCCAGTGCTTCTGCCACCAAGACTTTAAACTCGTCCGTCACCCGCCGGATATACTCCAGGTAGGTTTTCACAGCTTGACGGAATCCAGGCACTGCGGCTTCCTCTGGCCACTAGCGTAGTAGAAGAAGAATGAGCATAGATAAGAAAGACCTGAAGTAGGAATGAAAGAAGAAGTCAAGAAAAAGCCTACCGGGTTTGGCCCATGCATGTTGCGATATACTGGTTCGTCCGGCCCCGGAGGAGGAAGATCCATACCCAACTAAACATTCCTATGAGATTCGTATTTCTGTGGTGGAAACAACACACACACACACACACACACACACACACACACACACACACATACCGCAAATGCCTCTCGATGATCCCCCTTTTCGTCTGTCGGTTGAATATAACCGAAGAAATGTCTGTTCTTTATCATCTCCAGCTCCACCTTTTTCTCCTGCGGTAAATCGAAGAACGACATGGATCTACATATCAGGTCTTGCTGTACCTCATCGGGAATCGGATGGTTTCGAAGATAGAAGAAACCCACTCGGACAAGGGCATCTCGGAGTTCCCGGAGGAAAATCGCTCTTGTGGCTATATTGGTAGACTGGGAGAAGTCGATGATAGGGATGGAGGCAAAGTTGGCGTTTGATGTCATTGCGAATGGTTAGCTGGGGATAGTGGAGAGTACCACTGGACAGGTCGGAGCAAGTTATAAGATCGTGGAATTTTACCACTAGACCACAAAATGGTGCCCACGTAATCGTCTGCGGTTTTACTGGTAAAAACGGTCATTTTCTGGGCTGACATTACAGTACATTACTTTTACTTGTTGTCTAAAGCGTGGAAACAGACTAACGCAGATACAGGACTCACTCGTCGCCCCCGCCATCGGTCTCTTCTGCGTGCTACTCAATCCACATCGATTTCCAAATGGAACTAGGACACAAAGAACAGGAAGGAGATAAAAGATATTGGACTTTTAGATTTTACTTGCACTCCACAGGAAAATACTAAACCTTCTTATCATTCTTGTGCTTTTCTTTCAGTCTTTCTTTCTTTCCCTTTTGGATTCGGCTTCATACTCAGTGGGACCTTTTAGTTCTATGTTCTAAGAAGGTAGCCAAAATGGGATCTGCAACGGAAGCGTAGTATGAGATGCAAGCTGATCAACCATTTCAGATGCATGTCCCGGCAGCCTGGGCTTTCGGGTGATCAAGACCAGCATGTCACGCGTAGCCCGTTGGGATGCATCAATGGGATACAGTGGGGTGAGACTGTGCTTGGCCTCATTGTCGACCAGGAGAATAGTGTCCAAGAAGTGACGATGCTGGAGTCGATGCTTCACCAGGATGGACTGGGTCTGATGAACCGGAATTCCTGTTGTCTCCTTCTGATCATGCACGAAGGTGACACCGCTATCAGATCTCATGTTGGTACATCCAAGGAAAGTCGTCATCGTATGGTCTCCCCCATCGGAGTGGACCCCTTCCAGGGTAATCTCCCCTAGGATATCTTTTTCGGTAAATGTTCGGACATTGAACAGGTTGCATATCCAATACGGGCTCGAGTAATCCAGATACTCACGGGGCTCTACGACGACTTCATTCATAATAAATGCTTTGAAGACCATGAGAGCTTGTACCACCGTGTTGTATTGAAGATCTCCGGTGACTTCGGGGAAGTCTCGAGCTATTCCGGAGTCATGTCGCTTGTAGCCCTCTCCGACAGTGAGGGTGAAGAGTTGCTTTTCGAGACGTCGAATGGTCTTTTCCCCAAAGTCGAAACTGAAGCGGCCATTTTTGATGGTCCGGTAATCGACCGTGGGATCCTTGCCCAGGTGGTCGCTGACGCTGTGAAGGGCCTCGAAATCCTCCTGCTGGGCACCAAAAGCCTTGAGGATCGGAATCAGCCGAGTCCCTGGGATAAACACAACCCGCTCCTGTATATATCTGCGTCTGATGTCCGCAGCGATTGCTATAGCTTCATAAAACGATACATCATAGAATCTCTGACGCACATCCAAATTGACCCGTGTAGCTGAGCGACAGTATTGTTCCATTCCTTGTAGGATGGCTTGAGCCACAAGCTCGACATGCGCTGCTTCTACGCCGACAGAGATGCGGAGATACGGATCCACATTCTTCAGGAAGGCCGAGGATTCGTAAATCCGAGTGACCGAGAAGCCTAGGCCAGCACCCTTGGTTATCGGGACGCCTATCTCTTCCGCCGCGCGGAGGATCATTCCACAGCAGCGCTCCAAGTTGTGCTTTTTATTCAACCCTTCACCGAAAAAGTTGACGGTGACCACGTTTCCTCCATGCCGCCATCCCAATTCACTCCAGTGCTTCGGGAAGGTGATCTCTGCCATATCGCCACTTTTGCTCTGCAGGAGGTTGTGAAGTCGCTCGGCGTTCGTCGTGAGACACGCCATGCGCGAGTGATGGATGGAAGAATCGATCGCGGGAAGCAGGTTCGCCATTCGTGAGTACAGCACAGAACCTGTGACCTGGCGGATCACCATCATGGCCTCACTCAGCTGCTCCGGTACAACGACATATCCACACATCACCAGATCCATCCCCATCTGGATATATTTGTGGGCGCTCTCATAGTAAAGTACTGTGGGACAATGGGGGCCCTCGAACCAGTCATATACTTCCATTCCACCAGACACCAGAGTGCCGTCAATCACCACCAGACGATCCTCCCATCCCGGCCGGTTGGATACCGTCTGTGCGAACTGACGTAGGTCGATCGTCTCTAGGCCAACCGTGTTCACCATGGGGTCAAGGAAGACGGCCCGGGCGCTATTTTCTTCCGCGGCCGCAATAATATCCTCGGGAGTGAAGCTCTTCGCGTTGACAAAACGGATGGTCTTGAGAGAACGGAGTGGTTGAAAGGATTCGAAGTAAATGTAGGGGGACACTGCGACGACATCCCCGGGATTGAGCTGTTGAACCACATATTGCTGCAACACGGTAAATGCAGCCATTCCACTCGATGTGAGCAGGAGGCTTAGTTGTTTCTTGGACCCCAATTTCAGCGCCTCCAAAAGCCTCGCTTCACAATCTCGGACATCCGGAGACGCGAAGCGGTCGTAATTGATTCCATCCGACTGATAATAGGACGGATCAAAGAACCAGGCCGCTTTGGATTGGTCATAGGAGGGGGTTGCACGCTCATACATAGACTTGAGGAACCCTTGCAATTGAAGGAGGTTTCTATACCGTTCCTCGATCTGCCAGATCTCCAAGGGTTTGCTCCATAATGGGATTGATGCAGAATCGGAATCTCCTCTCGAGGCATGAAATTCCATTTCGAACTCGGTAGTTAACATCAATAATTTCTCGTAACTATCGAGAAAGATGGAGTCGCTCCAGTCGTCTGTTTGCAGATTCAGCTTGGTTGTGGTCTTCTTGTAGTCGTCAAACCTCGTCTTGAGGGCTTTGGTGCTCTCCTTGAACCGTGACAAGAGAAGCGCCCAACAGTCGTGGAGAGAAAGGATGGGACGAGAGGAATGATGGCCCTCTGCCACGACGAGTGCTCCGTGGATGCCATTTGTGTTGTCTGAGTGTTGAATTGCCATTTCTTTTTTTCTCTTCTTCTCGTCTCTTTGCTTTTGGTTCAAATCCTACGATGCCTGGTTAGAGGTATAGTGAAGAATTGGGTCTAAAAGCTACTCTCAAAAAAAAAAAGTTCATACATATACTTCGCACAAGGCAAGGAAACTTTTCGGTGCTTTCGCGTATAGTACATACAGTACGGAGTACCGTGGTTTTCAAAACAGATTCCCCACACCCCCAAGCTTTCTTCCAATTGTGCTAAGCTGACTTCGGCTAGACCACGCCCTCCTTGTAGTGGCATGATTGGCTTAGGTAGTCTCTTGAAATTCGGCGATCTGGACGTGTCCAACACGTCCCACAGATCTGAGATCACAACTACCTAAACCTAACTCGTATACCCACTATTCAGCTGGCTACAATTCCGGCAGAGGTCTTCGAAATCATTATCGAACCTATAATATCCGACCACGTCGGGATCGTCCATTCTCGGACATGACACCTGCAGCATCTAGATGCCTCCTTTTTTGTGACATACTCCTTATTGGTCCGATCCCTTCCTACCAAGTCCCGGGAAAGCATACCTACTCAATGCATGTCCAATTATCAATCCCTCTTTTATCGTGATCTCTCTCGGTTCTTGCGTTCGGATTACAGTGAGAATGAGGGGTAGAAGCAGATGGAAGGAAGAGTAATCTTATTGTTTCGTGACTGGCTATCCGGGCTAGAACGGGGATCCTTCGCAGTACTTATGGTTTGCCTTCTCCAATATCTCAGAATGTAGACCCCCATCTTAATTCTCCGGGACACCTTGTCAGTAGTCGACTGAATTGAATAAGATGGAGCCCTTCGAGGTTGATCTAGGAGCCGTGTTAGACTCCACCCAGCATTGGTTATTGATATTCTTCCTGGTAAGTAATAGCAGTGACTTCAAGAGACAAGTCGCGGCCCCTATATATTTCCCGAAAACTAACATCAGCTTTAGATCCTTGGGCTGCTTCTAGCGAATGCCATATACCGACTTTATTTCCATCCTCTGAGCAATTATCCTGGACCGAAAATTGCATCTCTATCAGACATCCCGTATTTATATTGGACCTATGCCGGCAATCTTCAATACAAGATTAAAGAATTCCACGACAAATATGGACCAGTTGTCCGACTGGGGCCAAACTCCCTAGTGTACAGGAACCCACAGACCTGGAAAGAGATCTACGGCCATAAGAGAGAGGGATACAAATCTTTCCGCAAGGATCCAACATTTTACGTACCTGCTCCAACCGGTGTAACCTTAATTGGGGCCAATGATGCGGATCATAGTCGAATCCGACGTCTCTTCTCCCATGCGATGTCCGACAGGGCCCTGAGGGAGCAGGAGCCCATCATGCAGTTCTATGTGGATCAGCTCATGCACAGGCTGTACGGAGAGGTGGCCGCCTCCCGCCCAACCGTCAGTATCGGGCGATGGTTTGACCTGACCACCTTCGACATTATCGGCGACATGGCTTTTGGTGAAGCCTTCGGCTGTCTCACCCAGGAAAACCCAGATCCTTGGGTGAACTATGTTTACTCGGGAGTAAAGGCGGCCGAGTTCCAACGCGCTCTTCTCATGTATCCAGGGCTGGCCTGGATTATAAACAAGCTCCTCATCCCCAAGACCCTGGTCGAGGAGCGAAAAGCACACTTTTTCATGAGTGCAGACAAGTTCCGTCGTCGGGCTGAGGCCAATATCGACCATCCAGACATGATGACCTATGTGCTCAAGTTTGACACGGAGAAAGGAATGACGGATCGTGAGCTGGAAGCCAACGCAGGACTGATCCTCACTGGTGGCAGCCAGACCACCACCACCTTACTGAGCGGATGTATCTTCTACCTTGCCCGGAATCCTGCTGTATTGACACGGCTGGTGGATGAGCTCCGGGGATCCTTCCAGAGCAAGGAGGAGATCACATTTTCAGCCGCCCAGAAACTCCCTTACCTTCGTGCTGTCATTGAAGAGACTCTTCGAATCTATTGCCCTACCCCGTCAATTTTCCCCCGGCTAGTTCCAAAAGGTGGAGCCATGGTGGATGGCAAATTCGTCCCCCAAGATGTGAGCAATTCCAACCGGCCTATTTCAACATATTTAGAAATGTTCTGACGATAGCGCACAGGTCTCAGTCTCTGTAGCTCACTATTCCACATATCGGTCTAGAAGTAATTTCGCAGACCCCGACCTATTTATTCCAGAGCGCTGGCTGAACGATGCTCCGCCGAAATTTCAATCCGACCAGAAAGAAGCTTTACAGCCTTTTTCGTATGGGCCACGGAACTGCGTTGGAAAAAAGTAGGTCCCTTCGTTCTTCGTCTGACAGACAAGCAAAACGTCTAACTCTGTTGTTTAACACTTAGTATCGCTTACGCCGAGGTCCGGATTGTTCTTGCCAAACTCCTCTGGCATTTTGACATCATCTTAGACCCTCAGTGTGAGAAATGGGACACACAGAAGTCGTACAGTGTTTGGGAAAGGCCGCCGTTACTGATTACTATCACCCCCATCCGAGAACATTCCGTGTATGAGGCTCCTAGTCACATGTGGAAGCAGTCATAGCTATAAACAACCTGTTTAGATCCAAAGGGGCGGAGAAAAAAAGTATTCGCATCACCTTCTCTGATGTTACCGTCTAATACGTTTACGCAAAAGACCGCTCATTATCTTAAAAGCAAGGCCAGAGTTGTCGTTTTTATGGGCAGTTCTGTTCGATATGTCCAACGCCAAGTCTAGATTGTCGGAGTGATTTGCACAAGTTCACAAATGAGATATGACTGTTCCGTTGGTTTTTGAGGGGCTATTCGCTTGGCCAACCCTTCACCTCAAGGCTGAAGGCTAATATAAGGACACTCCGTAGGGTTACTATCTACATGCAGAGTGGCAGAGTCGACGTTCTTCCCTCGCATGGACCCCGTTCGAGCTGCGCAGCCCCATCCTTTCGCCCCAAGGGAACCTTTCGTGTCCATGAATCTAACTACATTATTCACCAGGTACCCTATAGCAGATACAGGATATATATTAATACAAACCATGCATGTCACACGGTCAAAGCCACAATACAATTTATATACACGACATGAGCTAATAGAGCAGAGCTCTAACGTTTCCTTCGCACGTATTACTTTCCATTGAAAGTTCAGTAGTTTATAACCCCAATTACAGCCTTCACTTCCCTCCTAGCTGGATGGACTGATACTTCGTCGTATATTCATGCCAAGATCTCCTTCAGCCACTGGCTAATCAAGTCCTGATTTGCCTGTAAATAATAGATTGATTTTGCCTGTAGAAAGCCTTTAAAAGATTACCACCATGAAATGTATAAATATGGGGCAAAACTCATGTCAAATATACTTTAAATCAGAGATTCGAAAATATCTTGGCCTGCGAGTAAGTTAGCAGCGAATGATCCGTTCTTGAAATAAACTATCCCCGACTAAATTCCAAGTCAAGAGGCCTCACCATCGCACTCAACATGAGACCCACAGTTGCCCTCCTCGCCATCTCCTTCCTCACTGCCCCGGCCGTCGCGGACTGGGAGCTATACACCTCAACCTGCTACGGGTTCTCAGGCTCATACAGGATTAGTGGCGCCGCGGTTAACGGCGACCCTTGCTCAGGGGATGGTGCCAATTGGGATAACAGTTACCGTGAGAGGCGGATGGACTCGCATAACCCGTGCAACCGAGGGGGCAAGAAATTCCGCTACGTCCGTGATGGGTCCGACTATAATGTGTACTGGGAGGACAGCCCGAATAACAAGATTGGGCGGTGCTTTGAGAAGATCGATCCTGATCGGACAAGAGTGTGCCATGACGTCCGGCTTTCGTGCAGTTATTCCCTGATGTACGAGTGCAAGTCGCCTGCTTGCACTTCGGAAATGATGGGTTAGTTAGTCATAAGGCGATTCTTCCTCTTTTAGTTCTCTGTGTATCAGGTTGTGAGGAATGAAAGTGCGTGTTAAACGCGGACGGCTAGAAAATGGGCCCTTTGGAAGTTGCCACTTTATGGGTGAGGACAGCCAAGTCACAGAGTGACTGTGAGTGATGTGAGTGAGTAGGGTGAGCAGGATGAGCGAGTCACTAGCTTATCCTAGTTCCTGGCAGATAATGCTAAAGGCGATTACATTATATGCATGTATACCAAAACAGAAACTTAGTAGGTAGGCTTCTCAATCAGAAGAAGCGAACCTTATCAATCCTGTCAGCATCCTGTTTATAGTAAAATCTGACAGCCACTCAAAGTAATAGATACTAACTATGCCTCGATATCAAAGTTAATCAGGCTGTTCCTGCCGACGCCTTGTCCACCACAGCCGCAATCTTCCGCACCAACATGACTGGCTGGCTCAGCATTGGAGAATGGCCGGCGCTACAGCGATCAATCTTAGCCCTGGCCAAACTGGCGAATCCTTCTTGGAACTGTGCGGGTGCTGCCTGGTCCCCCTTGCAGATCAGGTAAGTGGACGGGAGGTACCCATAAGCCGCGCGAGTCGTGGGTGTAGTCTGTACCAAGTAAGACTGAGGTATCAGGCACGACTCCCACAAGGCTGCCTCGGCGTGCGGGAGATCGCTGTAGAGAGTTTTTGCTCCATTCTTGATGCGGAAGCGACCGTTCGGCTGGATAAAAATAGAAAAGAAAGTTTAGCTTAGCCAGGCACAAGAACCTTGGACTATAGGTCAGAGAAAAGCTAAGGCATATCCCAACATCGTTATTCGGAGACTCGCCAAAAGTTCCCATCACCGACGCGCCCTCCGGTAGAACAAAGGCAGCATAATAGAATAAATGCCAAACACCGCCCTTTTCCCCCTCTAACTAACACGAAGCATGGGTGAGAGATCTGGGAATCGCTGTACCGCCCACAATGCCCCCGTAGGAATGCATTACAACAACGACCAGCTTTTCTTCCCTTTCCACCAGCTGCTCCAGGGCTTCGGTGATGGCGCGTGCGTCGTTCTCCAGCGTGCGGGTGGGGAAGTCATCAGCCTCCACATTAGAGCAGCTGGGAAGCGACGGATGAATGACGGACTATCCGAGCTCGCGAAGACCAGTCGTCAACTGGGCGTAGACGAGTGGGGTCTGAAAGGAGCCCTGGACGAGCACGATCGAGGGTGTTTCGAGACCCATGGCCCCTGACTAGTAAAAGACTGATGGGGTTGATAGCAATGGTGGTGAAGGCGGAAAACAAATTGAAATGAGACGGTAGTTCGAAAGGGGGGGGGGGAGATAGTAGGGCGTGGGACAAAAAAAAGTCCAACACTAGAACTGATCCCTGCTGGCGATTTTGGCCGCCCATTGTCCTCAACCCTTGTAAGTTGTTCCTCTTCTATCTTACCGCCGCTTAGCACATCTTACCTCCTACAGGGGCTGAGCAGATGTGATTGCCATGTATGAATGGTAGTGTTTTCTTGGAGAGGTAGTTTACTGATGAATGATTTAAAAACAGGCTCTCATCCAACAGAGATAAGCCCACCCGCTAGATCCTTGGAAGGTGGAATAGCTCTACTGTGGCCTGGATGCTGTCGTACAGTAAATCACAGAACCTGAGATCGGCTGTTCTAGCCACAACAGAACTCCGCTATCGCTATCATAATGCTGGTAGAAATGGTACTCGTCGGCAAGTGCGCCTACTGCATCTTTGAGATACCCACGATGGGCATTGCGGTCGACGCAATAGAGTCGGCAAGAACGAAGGCCCCGCTGCAACCGAGGAGCTTTCGTTCTTTGCTGGTTACGCAGCATGGTGTCACTCGGTCGCTAGAGAAATACGGAGCATCGTGATGCTTAATGCAATAACATATCATCAGCAAGTGCTGCAATCTTATTGGTCCACTACTGGTAGTGAGGCTGTCCAGTGTGCATTAGTGGAATATGTCCGGCGGCTACGAGGTCCTGTCTCCCAACTGAGCCAAAATGACAAACATGATCCTATATACACATTATGTGGCAGAGAGTTTTTGGTCACTCACACGCTGGTGGTTCCTTGGATATGGCCCAATACACCTATCGCCCTCTGGCCAAGGGCTCCACCAAGATTCGCCTCCTCCGTCTATTACCGCATGACGATAAGGCTGCCCGTGTGGAATGCGAACTCATCGAATACACTCTGACAGATTCCGCGGGACAGCACCTGTATGAAGCCCTATCTTACGTATGGGGCAAGGGGGGCGAGCCACAAACTATATTCATAGACAGTAGACCGTTTCGGGTCACTGGAAACCTCCATACAGTGCTGCTTCGTCTAAGGAACCATAGTGTGGGACGTCTGTTATGGATTGATGCCGTCTGTATCAATCAAAAAGATGACCAGGAGAAATCCCACCAAATCCAGTTGATGCGGACCATCTACGGTGAAGCCTGGCGAGTCATAGTTTGGCTTGGAGAGGAGGCGGATCAAAGCAGTGACGCATTCGCAGCCATACGCAAAGCCGCAGAAGATGTTTCTTCAGACCCTTTGCCTAAAAGCTACTGTCCTGATAGATCAGACAGTGAAAAGTACCTTCCGTCCTCTCTGGCGCTGGTGCAACGCTCCTGGTTTCAACGAATTTGGGTAGGGTGCCCTGTAATCGGATTTGATAAGTCTTTCCTAACTAGTCTGTTATAGGTACTCCAGGAGGTGGCCCTAGCCCGTGACGTTGTAGTTATGTGTGGCCCTGTGGAGATGAATGGTTATGCGTTTATCTCGGGCTTGCAGAGCTTAGAAGTTCTTCGCACAGCTCACCCAAGGCTCCAAGGCTTGGTGCAGTCAGCGTATCACCTGATTAAAGATGCAGTTTTTCGTCCTAGTTATCAATTCAACACACGTGGCACACTGTCCATAGGTGAACTGATTGATATGTACCATACTCGCCATGCCTCCTGCTTGCATGATAAAATATACGCATTGCTCGGCATGTGTTCTGATGACCCTGACACAGAGGCTCTGAAGCCAGACTACAGGCTCCCATGGAATAAGGTCTTCGAGCGTGTGATCAAGTATATTATTTCGCCTAATATTTCCGTCAAGACGTGGCCTGACCGAGAGGCAGCAGTTATAAAAGGCAAGGGCTATGTGCTGGGGATAATCAAGTCGGTCGCAACGCCTGGCTCACGATATGACAGACAGGAGGTTAAAGTTCTATTCCGCGATACAGTAGAGGCACTGTATCAGTTCATGAATTCGGGCGTACAGTGGCTGCTCCAAACCCCGGCGGAGCCAATTCGCGCGGGTGACATTGTCTGCCTGCTCCAGGGAGCTTCGGCTCCAACTATTGTAAGAATATCGAATAGTGGACTGAGAATTATTATGAGCAGCGTGGTTCCACGGCATAAAGCTTTACATGATACCAGGGGATGGGATTCACATGGGCCTCCTTCGGAAGCAAGCGTTCTTCATGACCTCGTTCTCCAGTGGGACTGGGCCCCTACAACGGACGTTCTGCAAGCAAAGAATCGAGCAACAGTTCAGGGGGAGTCACACAACTCACAACCCTCGAATGCGAAATTTCACCATAAGGATGTTCCACCCAATCCCACCGTCTTGCATGATATCCTTACAATAGCCGTTCCGTCTAAGTATAATGTGTTGACGTCCGGCTTGTGCGGCATTGGCAGGTCACCAGATGGCACTTCGGCGATGAAAGCTCTGTTGGATCAAGCGGGTGATATTCTACCTATCACAGAAGACATAGTTAGGAGAGCGGCAGACCATCACGACCTAGGTGCTGATTTGTTGAAGATCCTTTTCGAGCATAAGGGGAACACTCTCCCCATTACAGAGCAAGTTGTTAGGGCAGCGGCAGGGAATCCTGAGGGGTATTTTGTGATGAACCTTCTTCTTGAGCAAATAGGGGAGAGTCTTCCCATCACAGAGGAGGTCGTTAAGGCTGCAGCAGGCAACACTGGGTATGGAGGCAGTATTTTGGAGATTCTATTCAAAGAGAGAGGGGATACTCTGGCTATCACCGAGAACGTCGTTATAGCTGCAGCGGGTAATCAGAAAGAGGGGGCATCAATTCTACAGTATCTATTTAAGCAGAAGGGGGAGAGTCTGCCAATCACAGAAGCAGTGCTCATATCAGCAGCAACCAATTCGGGCCCAGATGCACCAAGTTCGATATTGAATATCATATTGGCGAATACTCAAGAGAGACAGCTTCCTCTTACAGAAGGCGTTGTCAAAGCAGTGGCTGCAAATTCCTCTCGGATAAGAGCTTCAACACTCCTGCAACTCATGACACAAAAGAGACATGAGCGGCAACAGAGAGCTCTTGATTTATCCACCATGCAATGTCTGTTTCAAAATTTGACGGAGAGAGTATAGTTCGTATACGTAAAAAGAACTTATGCACTTGGCAATTTTATACACAACTAATGTGAATTTTACTTTTCTGATGTATATGCCGTATCTTCATTTCACATCCATTTACTCGACGTAGAGTAGACTAGTATATCGGTCTCAGTCCCAGGTTAATATTTGATAAAGTTATGTACTTGTTTCAACAGAGGAGAGAGCTAGTAGATAATATCTGCCATATATGAACAAACCAAGAGACTAGTCTATTGCCAATTATTATGCAGTATGCACCAGAGAGGCAAGCGACGCTTAACACTGCACGATGATGAATCACATATCATGGCCATGAAGCCTGATATGTGGCTTTTTTTCTTGGGATCAGATATTGGCACCATATATCATGAAGTAAGCCCCATATTCACCAGCACCACCATATTGCGAGTCATCCTGAATCACCCGATCAACCTCCTCAAACCCTAGATGCGTATACACCCCACGTCCTGCCTTATAAGACATTGCAACGATGGGCACATCGATGGACTGAGCTGCTCTGATGCCGCTAGCAACAAGTGCTGTGGCAATTCCCTTGCCTTTATTTTTGGGGTGAACAGCCAGGTAATCGAGCTCTAGAAGGCAATCAAGTATCAGTCTTTGCAACATAGCAATGCTGGGTCTTACTTGAAAACAACAAATAAATCGCACTTACTGATATACGGCCTTTGCGCGAGTATACGGTCCATTACCGCATCATTGATATCATCGATAGAACGCATATCGCTTCTACCATTCCACCACGCAAGCTCTGCTAACTGCTGGAACTTTCTTTTCTCATCATCACTAACATCCGGGACTTGAGCATCCACCCACTGTGAGCTCCCATCTTTTGTCGTAAGGTGGGTAGGAGGCAGTATCCAGCGGGCATATCCGACAAGATCGCCGGTAAGAGGATCAACAGCCTTCTGATGACGGACCTCCTGACGTGTGCGCAGTAGGATATTGGGGTAGCGCTTTGTACATTGCTCAATTAGAAACTCCAGTGTGACCCCCTTGGGCCATAAAAGAATCCATGTCGGGTCTCCCCAGAAGGCTGACATGTTATTATATGCTAGAGCAGGGGCGTCAGCAACGCTGCAAGGCTTGATCTCCCAGTGAGTCATGGCTATAGACGTAAAAGTGAAGCTAGTTGGAAATCTAATGGACAAAGCTGTCCGAGAGACATTGGTATTCCAGACTGAAGACTTGACGCAGCGTTTTCTCCCATCTATCAGATTTTAGGTAGATAAATGGCTCGGCATGCCACGGACATAATTCACTGAGATATATACCCCTCTTCCTATAGCTTTCGTTCGATCAGGAAACAAATTAAGGGAAGGGAAACGTCATTTCAGGGATTCTTGTCGTCAGCAGAATGGCTGGCTTTCTCACTCACTCCCCGGGTGATTTTATAAATAGAGAATTCATGTGAATGCTTTGGATATTCATGGGGCATTGTACTAGTAATAGGTCGTTAGTAGACACGGAAATCCAAGGTCTTAAAGAAGTCCCAGTACATCTAAAGATATTTATAAATGCGATACTTATTTGCAATAACTTACTTTACACTACACTAACCTTGAATGGTTTACCTGCCACGAACGTATTAAAATATGTATGCGACGCGGTTCATGCTTTGGGCTCAAGGATACGAGTATGTATGGACACATTGTATTAAAGTTGACCTAAAATCGGGTATTCACCTTGACGATGCATCTGGAATAGTATGATACTCAAATAATCGTTATTCAAGGCGAAGAGGCAGGCCGATCATTGAAACAGCCATGCGCTATCAGTGAAGCACTCTTAGGCATTAAGGTTAAAAGACAATTGCCACGGCCCCACCCACCCGACGACGCACCTCCGTTCCGGCCAACTTGAAATCAGTCTGGAGAACAGAGTAAACAACAATACCGACCAGACATTCTCTGAAGCTTACCAACCATGGCTGACGCTCAATTCGACAGTGCGCTGTAAGTACACCATCCGTACGAACGCATAAATCTGCAACATGCATGCTACACCCCTCTCGAAATACGAAAACCAAGCCAACCCCGTACCCCACCTCAGGCCGCAGGCCGAGAGCTGACTGTAATTGCAACCAGCGACCTCCTGCGACGCTTGAACCCCCGGGACACCAAGCAGAACCTTCAGGCGATTACTTCTATTGTCCCTGACCTCACCGAAGACCTCCTTTCCTCCGTTGACCAGCCCCTCGAGATCCGCCGGTGCTCCAAGACCAACCGTGACTACTTGCTCTGCGACTACAACCGGGATGGTGATAGTTACCGCTCCCCTTGGAGCAACGAGTTCGATCCTCCATTGGATGATGGAACCGTTCCTAGCGAGAGGGTGAGAAAGCTCGAAGTGGCGGCTAATGAGGCTTTCGACGTCTACCGGGAGCTGTACTACGAGGGTGGTGTAGGCAGCGTCTATTTCTGGGACTTGGACGATGGTTTCGCCGGAGTCATACTTTTGAAGAAGGGTTGGTGATTGTCTTTAATGCCTGGGAAGAGAGTGAAATTGTGGTGGATCTTGTGCTGATGCATCTCAGGGGTAACGCCGGGTGCGAAGAGCTCGGGAGAATGGGACAGCATCCACGTGTTTGAAGCTACCGATCGGGCTCGTATGTCCCACTACAAGCTGACCAGCACTGTTATCCTCCATCTAGCCAACGAGACCGAGTCTTTGGGCGAAATGGACCTAAGCGGTAACATGACCCGACAAGTGGAGGTGGACTTGCCGGTTGAGTCCGATGCAAGCCACGTTGCTAATGTCGGTCGACTCGTTGAGGATATGGAGCTGAAGATGAGGAACCTGTTGCGTATGTTTCACAGTTCTTGGCTTGCATTGTAGATGCTGTACATCTCTGAGTGACATACTAACCTCGTTGTGCGTATAGAGGAGGTCTACTTCGGTAAAGCGAAGGATGTTGTGGGCGAACTCCGGAGTATGCTTCCCTTATTTACGGTCTTCTCACTGTATACTAATATGTCATAGGCCTGGCTTCCTTATCGGAAGCAAGCAAAGACCGCGCTACCCAGCGGGAGATGATTATGTCCATGCACAGGTAGTCACTGGTGACTACCAACTCTATCTAGCTACTACACTAGTCACGGTAGTAGTATGTTGTGTATCTTCGATTTTGCGCCTTCCAACATTGCACTTCTAGCCTATTGTATGTAGATTCGAGCTAAGGTTCCTGGAGATCTAAGACTCACATTGTTTCGACAATGCTAGCATATCGAGAGTAGCAAACTCGTAGCAGAAGTACAAATTGCGGGATCAAAATTATACAGCAGAACATACTTTGTATCCCTGTGCAAGATCTTTAATATTAAAATCGACAGAATCTTTGATTCAGTAGGTTTGGGTATCATAAATGCCGAGGCTCGTTGAGTCTTCGGCAAGACAGTAAAAAGAGTAAAAAGAGAGGCAAAGGTGAGACTAGGAATACCCCCTGGGATGGACCGTTGTGCAAAGGTGACAAATATCGATCACCTTATTGTAACAACTATATCCAATGTTTGGGAGTTATCGGTTGGTTCCTTTCGAAGTGGGGTGCGTGCGAAATGAATGATCAATCGACTTCCATCCCCTCACGATTATTCTCAGCCTGCACCCCAGGATTGCTAATCTTTTCGACAAATCCTCTTGCAGCCGCCCAAAGCTCTGCCTCTTTATCCTTGCCTACAGTATCCTTTCGGCTGTTCAGCCAACTGACATCCAACGGGTTTGCCGCTGCCGCAGTTCCCCCGCTCGCGCCAGGTAGATCGCCTGTCCTGGAGGACGAATCTGGAGCAAGTATAGAAGCCTCTTCCATGGCGTAGACCTGACGGCGCAATCGCACGTCGATAGACGATAGGAGAGCAAAATACTGCGATGTAGCTTCTTTGAAACGAGCTTTGTGGGAGTCGAGGGAGTTATCTCCTGCCGAGTCGCTGGATCTGGCGTTGGTGAGGGCTTGTATCGCGAGGCCAGCGGAATGAATTAGTCTTGCCACGTCCTGTAGTTGTAAAGCACTAGTGAGCAATTGGGCCTTTCATGACGGTCTAGTTGTTTGTCGCTCGAAGTACTGCTTCTCCGCTCGAAGCACCTCTTACCTTGTCCACTTCGTTCAATTGGCGTATGCGATCCGCCGATGTAAAAAGTTGGTCTGGTTTCCCGGCCTCCTTGCTGTCCGCCATTGTTGCGCTTGTGTATGAATCAAAGAGAAAAGGCCGATACAAAAGGTAAGGCTCCGTCTAGGACTGCAATATGAAGATGCGAAGGCAGCTAAGCTTGCATCACGTGAGTTGGCATGGGGAACACTAGAATCGGATTACCTAAGCCGGGGAACCAAACTAATCCCAAAGTGATATAGTGCAATATCAGAACGTGACGCTGCAAAAGCTCCCGTTTACTTTGACCTTCACCATCCCTCTGCTCACTATCTTCCCATCATTTCTCTCAGGTTAGGCATTTTCGCCTCCTCAAATTAGATATCCAGGGCCATGTCTGCTCCAGGCGGGGCCCCGAGCCCTGCGCCCCGAAGTGGAAGCATGGGGCCTGGTGGTGGAATGTCAATGCCTCCTCAACAGTCAATGGGTGCTACTACCCCAGTTGCTCCAACGCCGGGTCCCCCTCCACCTCCTCCCAGTGGTGCGATGTCTCAGCAGAATTTGAACCAGATAGTAAGTAGTCGCTGTGCGATTATATTTGGATACTCAATTATGTTTCCCGAGGTGTATGCGTTCCCGCGGTCCTGGTAAACCATAAATGTGGAGCTTCCTCCCCATCTGTGTTATCGCATACTATGTTTCAACTTAAGCTCAAAGTGACATGTCTACTCTTATGTTTGGACCTAATGTATACCACACTGGAACCTTGTATACGCGTTCCATCTTAGCTCCGTCCTTAATGTTGTGTTTTCTTTGTTTTGTTGCCAGACTCGCACGTAGTTCTGTTGTCAACTTCATGCTGACGTCCTCCACCTTAGGTCATCGACTACTTGGCCAAGAAGGGCTATAGTCGTACCGAGGCCATGCTTCGCATGGAGTCGGCGAATCAAGAAATAGACGGTCGCCCTTTACCTCCTCTCGGAGAGGATGCACGTCCCAAGTACAGACTTGGTTTCGGTAAGTTAGTCATGGTGCTCCAAGCTTGGTACAATGTAATTAACTTGGCGACAGACCTGCTCAAAGTCTGGGTTGAAGACAACCTAGACCTATATAAGGTATGGATACTGTTCGCATGAAGTAAAGATTACTTCTGACCCTCTGTAGCCGGAGCTTAGACGCGTTCTTTGGCCGCTCTTTGTTTATTCTTTCCTCAATATGGTCACATCTTTCTACCCTCAAGATGCGAAGCAATTCTTCGATATTAACAAGAACCTTTTTCTGCCTGAACACACTGAGGATGTTCGCGCTCTAGAGCCAATCGCTCTACCAGAGCATGTTCAAGATAATTCAACTGCCAAGCTGTATCGTGGGAACAAATATCGCATAGTTCTAAGCAACCCGGCGTTCTCGAACCTTATGCAGTTCCTCGAGAGCAAGCAAAAGGAGGGCGGCTCCGTCATGTCCGCCATTCTGAGCAGCTACTGCACTATCATCACCAAGGAACGTGCCGTCGACGATAGATTCAGCTTCGCCGCCATGCTGGGTCAAGCTGGCGCGGGCCAGACGTTCCCTACTGAAGACGAGGGTATACCTGGACATCACCCTGGCTCTGCCTATACAGGTGATAACCCCGCTATGGCTGGAACCTTGCCCAGGCTTAGGCTCGGAAAACTCCCAATGGAGCAGACCCTCGAAGCCGATGTGAGAGGCGAGCTTGGGGATGAAGACATCAAAAACCCACCGGCCCCAGGCCAAAATACTCTTGTGCAGGAGTTCGACCAGATGATCAAAAAGGAGGACGATGATGAATCCCCTACTCGCGCCGATATTCCTTACCCACCATCAACTGCTCGTGACGTTGCCATGGAGGTTCAGAAGGTTAAAGAGAACCGTGATAGATTTCGGATTGAAGGAAGAACTGGCGGCGTTGGGCCAGCCGTCAGTGTTTGCATGTTTACTTTCCACAATACTTATGACGGGTGAGTCTCTTGCCTTGCTTCTTCGGACTCAAAGTTGCTGATTTTACCCAGAATTAACTGTCTCGACTTTTCGGATGACAACATGCTCGTTGCAGCTGGTATGCAAGAGTCATATATTCGTGTCTGGAGTCTGGATGGAAAGAGAATCCCATCGACCTACGAGAGTGTGGACGAGACGCAACCATCGAACTCTCGCCGCCTGGTTGGGCATTCGGGACCAGTGTATGCTGTAGCATTCGCTCCATCTATAACACGCACGGAAAATGCTATAGCACCGACAAATGCTCGCTGGCTTCTTTCGTCTTCGGCAGACAAGACAATCAGGCTGTGGTCGTTGGATCTATGGCAATGCATGGTCGTCTATAAGGGACACGATCAACCCGTTTGGGATCTTCAGTGGGGTCCCTATGGGCACTACTTTGCTACCGGAGGTCATGACAAAACTGCCCGTCTCTGGGTTACAGACCATATCCGCCAGCAACGTATTTTCGTTGGACATGACCAAGATGTTGACTGTATTTGCTTCCACCCGAACTCTGCCTATGTCTTCACCGGAAGCTCAGATCATACGGTACGCATGTGGGCTGTGACCACAGGAAATGCTGTCCGTATGTTCACCGGCCACACCGGTAACATCACGGCATTGACATGCAGCCGAGACGGCAAGCTCCTTGCTTCCGCAGATGACCACGGATCCATTCTTCTGTGGGATCTTGCGCCCGGAAGGCTCTTGAAGCGCATGCGCGGCCATGGAAAGGGCGGTATCTGGTCCTTAAGCTGGAGCGTTGAGTCTACCGTGTTGGTGTCCGGTGGCGCTGACGGGACCGTCCGCGTATGGGATGTCACCGGCCCTGCTCAAGACTCAACACAAGGTCGTGTAGTGGGAGAGGGTGGTGCAGGCACCAAGGTCGATGGAGGTAATGTTGCCGCCTCCGGTACACAAGCCTCAAGCTCAGTTGCTCCAAAGAAGAAAGGCAAAGACGTGGTCGTCAGTCCGGACCAAATCAGTGCCTTCCCGACTAAGAAGAGTCCTGTCTATAAAGTGAAATTCACCAACATGAATCTGATCATTGCTGGAGGCGCTTATCTTCCTTAAGGGGAGGATGAATTTTATGCAAAACGGCGCCAGATACCCGGTTGTTTTCTTTCATCTGAACAATTTTGTTTGTCTTCTTGTATTGTCTTTGCGGTTTACAACATTATTTTGGGGACATTAATGGTCACATGCATTTGGTGGCTGGATTTTTCTTAGACGGCGCCCTGGCTTGTTTCTAATGGGATGGTGTTGGTGGCCGTTGCAACTTAGCTAAAATTAGCTATGTATTAGCTTCTTAGTTGGATTCTACTTCCGGTTTGCAGGCTGAACATCTGGAGATACAAGGCATGATCATATCATTAAGTTAATTGGTTTGATACAACGGACAAACTTCGTGAGCATAAAAGAATAACCCATCGGATTCTAGTACAAGTACAAGATCATTCACATGGGTATCGATGATCTACGGATAGTCATATTCATTATACTTTCGCCTTTGTACATTTGTATACTGTATAGACATGATAACTGCCATCTATGGTTTGTGAGAACCCTGCCCCCTCCCAAAAGGTGGAACAGCTCCGGCTCCCTGTTTCATAGCCGCGGAGGCTTGCATATCTGCTACCTTAGGTGGCAGTACCAAAGCACTCCTGTCATTTCTCTTGTAAAAGTCTACTAGCACCTGAGCCGTCTTGACCGGCTGATCTTCCTGTACGAAGTGCCCTGCTTCGGGAAATACCTGCAGCTGATACTTCCCCTGCATTTGTCCAATCATCAACTCTTTATCTAGACGATCTGTTCCGGCGAGAAGAAGTAATTTTCCGCCACGAGCCTCAAGGAATTTCTTGCTCAGACCGATGAACCAATTTTCCCAAAAGGGCTTCGTTTCGGCGAGGTTAGTGCGCCATACCCATGGTTTTGAGGGGTCGGTGGGCGTTGTTTCCTCGTAGAGGAGGGAAGGCACGGAGACTCGAGCTGAGGTTCTGTTGCGAATTGTGCGGGAGCGGGTGCTGATATTGTTAGGACATGGTGTATGTATGCCTTCAGTAGACAAGGCAAGTTTGAGAGGTCTGTGATTTAGATAGGATAAAGACATACTGCCATTCAATCCCTGAGGCAAGGGAGGGAAACCGTGTGGGCCGTGTAGAAAGATACTTTTCCATGCTTTGTAGAGCGTCCATTGCCGAGCCTGTATCTGCAGTTAGCAGGCTTCTGTCCATTCTAGGCTAACCAGCGATCCAGCAGCGGGTTTCTCCTGCAAAAATGACATACCTTCGACAACATCCAAAACCGCATAAGCTAATACCTTCGCACCCAATTCTCCTTTCTTCGCCACATCTGTGATAACTGCACCACCCAGACTATGTCCTACAAGGATAATGTCCGGTAGACTCGCCCAGCCCATCTTCGACTGCGTCTCACGGACAACGAAAACCAAATCCCGATTGAGAGTCCCCAAGCTCAAGTCCAACTCGACCTTTCCTTCTCCCGTCTCCGTGGATGTAGACGTCTGGCCGTGGTCTCGCGCATCGATAGAGAGGATCCCTGCATTGGGGAGGATCTTGCGAATCTCCTCTGCGCAGGCTGCAAATGAGAGCCCTGAGGAACCGGCGCCATGGTGCATGACGAAGAGCGGGCCCGAGTTTGTGGGTGGAGTCAGGTATACATGGTGTCTTATGCGCGCGGAATCTGTCTCTTGAACGAAAAACAGCTCTTCAGTGAAGAAGTCGGTCCAATTTAAAGTTTCGGTGGAATTGGATCTGAGGTGCGTGCGTTAGTATATACCAAAGAAACGAAGACCACCCCAGATGCATTAATATTTAAAAGTCACAAATGACACAATCAAAAGCAACAGTAGCAGCAATTCAGTATCACAAGGGTACGATTGACTCACCCTCGCGACCTAGCAAACAGCTGCCGACTAGGGGAGGGAACCACGGTCCCCGTTGATGAGGCGGACTCGGAATCCTCTTCATCGCGGAATGGATGCATGGAGAATGGTGGGGCCTCAGGAGGAAGCTTGGCCAGTTTTGCTTTGGCGAAGGATTTCTGCAGTTCACTCATGGGGGTGGGTTATGGTATATTTGGTGCTGGTAAATTGGGCGCTATTTTCCTCTGGTGGGAGGGTGGACGGGAGCTCATGTGGGGTGGTGGGATGAATGGATCTTCTTAGATGATCGGCAGGACGGACCGTATGATCTGGAGGAGATTCTATTGTACTTAGTTGTCTGGGGAATTGAACCCTCGGGGATTTGTTTCCAGGAGTCCTGAAGCTGAGGTTATTCGAGGACCGGACAGTGATTGATTTCTGTGCCTGGAAGTCGTGTCACAGGAACAATAAATCCAAAACGTTGATCTGGAGAGGAGTTCATTTCCCTGCCTCAGGCCGGCCACTCATCCCCAATGACGTCATGGGACCACGCCCAGGTCTGGAAATACTGAACCGGATGGACCTGGATTGTTTTAACCTATATACCTTAATTTCTAGTAACCAGCCGGTGAGCTATTCGGCTTCAAGTGCCGAGACTCTTCTAGAAAGTAGAATCGAAACATGGCATGAAGAATTGCTCAGTGGTCATATGACCTGGAAGGAAGTATCTTTAACCATTGCTATAGTCCTCCTCCTTCTAAGTCTCTCCTTCCCCCTCATGTTAGACCCAATATCTTTCAAAATGACGTCCACATCCCACCCAGGTATCAGCACTACCGATTGGAAGAGAAGCCACCTATTGTATTTCCAGAAGATCATGTCCTCTAGCTGGTTGGCGTCGCTATGTTGGCCAATCCATGGTTATGCGGGCATGAGCAATCGATGACTTCACCAACCATTCCAATGTTTCAGCTCCCTGCATTACCGCTGATATGGAGGCCGGGTGCATCATTGCTCTATACCCGCTGATCCTTAGTATTTCCTCAAATTTAAGCTTACTCTTGTCGTGCTAATCCTGTAGGTGCATGTCCTACCCATGACGTCACCTCAACTCTGAGAAATTTTGGCATTTCAATTACTCTGGACTCGAACTATTGCTTCCTCTTTCTTTTCTGCTTCACACAAAGGATCCACTCCGTGAGCTGCTATAAGATCTACCATTTTGCACCAATATAGCACACAATGGTCGCACTGTGGAACAAGAAAAAAGACGACCCCGAAAGGGAGGAATCACAGACAAGGGATGAGGGGTCTTCCAGAAACTATCGTGAATCACACTATCGAGAGCCAGATGAGCGCACGAGACTCCTCCCTCGCGATGATAACGCTTATCTGAGACCTGATGATCCTGCAGTAAGCTGAACAAACCCCCACCTCAAATGTTGACCAAATGCATTATCCCGCTGACATTGAAAATGCAAGGTCTCTCCGTATAACCTCTGGAGCGTTCGAGCTCTACGAGCCCTCTCCTCACTCTTCCTCGTGATAAGCTTTATATGGTGGGCCTTCTTGCTCGTCTCCATATTCGTCAGCCCGCCGATGATGCACACCCGGGGGTCCGGATTCTTCAGCTTCGCCTATACCTCATTAACAGTCGGTTACCTGATTATCGCGCTCCTATTCTTCTCCGTACCGTCAAAGCCTATGACAATATGTGGCGCGATTCTATTTGTCTTCCTCTTAGTTGATATGTGCATCATATTGGGTGTAGGTCATATTCGTGTCGAAGAAGGTTGGGTGGGTATCGCCTCCGTCGTTTGGGCGACATTCATCTCCATCTATGCCATTGGGCAGAACCGCTACGTCGCATGGGGTAAAAAAGAAGAGGAAGAGCGTCTGACAGGTCGCGAAGAGACGCGCCGTCCCCTCCGAGAATGGCTGGCGGTGCTGATTGCCACCATCATTATGGCGCTCCTTGCCATCGTTTCCATCCTCTTCACCGCAACGTTGATCATCCGCATTCAAGACTCCTCCCTTGCTGCACCAGGCAAGAAGTACTACGTCAATGGCAACCACTACCAGGTCCATCTAAACTGCGTCGGCAACCCAGGTCGCAAAACCGAAGGCGGAGACCCCATTCCCACAGTTTTATTGGAAGGTAATCACGGACCAGTCGAACACACCTTGCAGCCATTTATCGATGATGCGTACCGCAACGGCTCAATCGAACGCTACTGCTACTGGGACCGACCGGGATACGGCTGGTCCGACAACGCGCCGTCCCCTTACTCCGCTGGCATGGCAGCCGACTCACTGTCTGAGGCGCTCGCTCTTGCCGGCGAAGAAGGCCCCTGGGTCCTGGTCTCCGCCGGAGTAGGCGGCATCCACAGTCGCATTTTTGCCAGTCGACATCTCCTCGAGATAGACGGGATCATGCTCATTGACACCCTGCATGAGGATTACCTGGACAGTCTAGGCTCACCGGGACGAGGCTTCATCCTCTGGGTTCGGGGTGTACTCTCTCCTCTCGGTCTCGATCGACTCGCCGGAGCCATCTTCAAGGGCCGGACACGGGAGGACCGCGTCATCGGTCGTAGCGCCTATCAAACTGCCAAGGTCATCCGGGCCAAGTTGCAGGAGAATTTGGTAGCCAAATCCATGACTGCTTCGGAAATACAGACCGCGCGGCACGTCCAGATGCCTGACACGCCGTTGACGGTCATCAGTTCTGGGGTCGAAGTCCGGAAGAGCGAAAAATGGAGGAAGGCCCAGGAGGAATTGACGAAAGTGACAAAGAATCTCAAGAACTGGGATATTGTTCGTGGGGCACCACATGAGGTGTGGAGGTCGGCTGAGGGCCGGTCAATTGTGGAGAAAAGATTGAAGCAGATGGTCAAAGGTAAGGGGAAGAAGTAATTTGTCCCTCATGTCTTTTTCTTTTCTACCTCTTCAAGCCTCCTCTTCCATGTCATTTTCTTCTCGATTTATTTTGGGTTAGTTCTTTTGTATGTTACCCCTTTCTGGTTGGCGTTGTTGCAAACCCTCATGTGTGGTAGGTTAATATTTACGGGCCTATTGTGGTGTGATTCACGTATTAGTCTACTTCACTGTGCACTCTTTGTTATCTTAACTGCAGGCGTGCTTAACTTCCTGTAATCAGTGTAGGCAGTCCACACAAACTTGTGAATCCAACCAACTATTATAGAATCACGAGCAGTTGAGGCACCAGTAGTTGTCCCTGAGAAAGTTCGCAGCTCGGGTACTCGACTTTTTCCAGCAACGTAGCTTCATTCCATCCATACCATCTAATATCTTTGAGCTATATCACAAGACATCCGGCCTCACAACCTGGGATCTAAACCAGCCGAAATATATGCATAGGGTTGGCGGGAGTCGGAGAACAGATCAAGAAAGACTTCAAGGCACGACCACGTTGTTGCACAGCCGGCGTACGCTAGGCCAAGACGCCTGATGGCATGACAGCTTTGACCGAGGGGAGCAGGGTGAATGATTTTTCGACGGGGAATGTGGCTACGCGGCTCGGATCGACCAGTCACTCTAGACTAGCTCCCTTGAACCTCTTAGCAAGCTGTTCACTTTCTGATTTTGGAGATTCAGGCCTTGAGGGGAATAAACGTTTTCCGGCTTGGGGCACTGCGCGTGGAGAATCGGCCGAGCTCAGCCAGGGGCGCTTAGGGGGGCGCTCACCACTTTCCTGAAGAATTGTTACCAACGTCGCCCACCCGGGGGTGTTTATCAACTGGACTCCGTCTGCGGGATCGTGTGTTGTCGCAACGCGGCCGAGGAGTGCTTCCTCGTCCTGTTGTTGTGTCAATGCTTATAGCGATCATCAAACCAATCTATGATGGTGTTGCCTACCTGGCTGAATGTGGACAGAGAGTGGAGGAAACACAGAAGATGGAAGTCGGATACGGCGCGAATCGCCTTGTCAGGGTCGCCGTGGGAAACGAGCTTTTTGGCGACATGACGAAGCTCCTGGCTTTCGCCGATGACTTCACGGTTCTCAATTGGGAAATTACCTTCAACAAAAAGTGGAAAGGATTCCGTGGGGAACCCATGGGTTAAAGTGACCAAGAGATACTCAACAGGAAATGCTGGTTTTGCGTTTTGCTGGGCGCTAACACCATATTCATTAATCTTTCGGTAGAAAACTTCGGGTATATACCGGGACCTGTTCCCAGAGTCATCCTCTTCGGACTGTACGAGCATGACCGAGGGCTCCGCAGACGGTTCGACAATATCTGCCCTGACCATCTCAACTGCCGCAACCGAGGCCTGGTAGGCGCTTACCGAGATAGCACCCTCCTCGTCTCCACTGAGAACACAAGTGACAAAATTGGAACCAAATCGACCAGTCCGGCTCCACTTGGTTGCTTTCGGATATTGGGCTTGCAACCGCGCTGCGAATGTAATCTCTAGGGACGAAAGGAAGTATGAATCAATGTGCCGCTTGCAGACAACCGAGCCGTCCCCTTGTCCAGCATCTAGCAAGTCAGTAAATATAACGCCGACTTTCTCAAGGCCACACAAGCGTGCGACCTCGTCCACCTCCTTCTCATTGTGCCATTCGTGAAGCGTGACGCCATCAATCTCATCCACCTGAGGTGGCTCATAGATCGCCTGGACCACGGCTTTGACTCCCAAGGGAACCTCGGTGTACTCTTCGTAGGTACCGTAGAGGAATCCCAACCTTTGAGCACCGGACTTACGCCAGAAATCGAGCAACGAGTTAATAAGATCAGGAGAAGAGAACTCCACATGGTCCACAGTACGAAACTCTTGAGGCTGCAAGCTAATCGCACTTGGTTGGCACTTGGTGCAGATTCCCTCGGGCCACGAAGGATGTCCCGACGGGCAATCCCGTCTTACTCGGTAGTATGGTTCACTGAGTGGGGGCATGAAGGAGCTCTTGAGCTCAGCTTTGTTGGTCGCAGCATTGAGTTTCCGCAAATAGGAGTGAAATGACAAGTGCTTGATCTTCTTCTCTGCAAGGTACTTGGGGTCGTAAGGCTCGAGTGGCATACAGTAGTCGCACATGCCCTTGGGACCATGCTTGCACATTTTCATGTCACGGCTGCGCTTTATTTTCCCATCTTTCTTATCCAACGCATCGTCAAGGGGCGACTGCTGGACTACATCCCAGGGGTTTTTGATTGTAGCGGTCGGTGAGGTAGGTTGGGGGCGAATCGAAACGGTTTCGGTTTGCGGGACAGGGGCTCCATTCAGACGCCGGGAAGACCCATCCGTAGCATTACCATTTACAGAGCCGTCTTGCAAGTTTTGCTTTTCTTGATAGCCAAGGTACAGCTTGTCTCCGTGTCTACTTCCAGCATTAGCAAGCTCAAGAGCAGTAAAGACACCACCCAATACTGGCTAACTGACTTTAGACCGACAGTTCCAAGCGCAATACCATCGAGAGTGTCCAAAAGTCTCTCGTCTCCACCGGTACCTATGGGCTTGTTGGAAAGATTTATCGAAGAGGGTTCAGTATCTGGAGGGAGGTGCTCCAAAATCTACAAATGGGACTGTTAGCATCCAGCTAGCGCCCGGTGAGATGCAGGAACACGGTTGATACAGTTATTCAAACCATACCTTCTGCTTGAGTGAGGGAAATAGTTCTTGTGGGCTGACTGTCAACCGGAACTGGCCGTTCCGACTTTCGAATCTCAGAACGATCGGCCGAGACGCCATAGGGAAGGATTTGGTGTTGATAAGAGTTAAGGTGTAAGGTAGTTGAGTGGCAGTGAGTAATGCTGTCTATGGGTATACCTAAATATTGATTGAGCTCATGGAATCATGACGATGGGAAAGTATAAGGTATAGTGAGAGGCAGTGGCGGGTTTGAAGACAAGATGAAAGTAAGTGAGAGCTTAAGTTGGAGGAGAAGACGAGAAGGCGGAACAGCTCTATCGTCATCGCCGCCGGTTACCGCCCTAGTACCAGAACCCCGCAGAAAACAGTTACAGAGCTTATGTACAATGCGTAATCTGAATACCGATGCTAGTAGCTAATTATTATTAGGTAGCTGAGGCCTTCATTCTAATTGGGTTAGAGATCTACAGAATATTTATTTTCGGAGATTTCTCAGAAGCGGATTATGAACAGAATAGAAATCTACTTTGAGTTTCTTACCACCTCTATTTTACTACTGAGCTACAATACACCATTCGTTATTGAAATATTCATGAAGTATTTTATTACTATGTGTAGGTATGTATGATTTTCAGACCTCAAGTCAGGTATCGTTGGAACAAACAACAAAACGAACAAAGCACAAAGATCAAGTGGGTATACAATGGAGCCGATTAAGAAATGACACACTTAGGAAGACCACAAGGTCCCTCGCCCTTCTCCTTCTTTGGCCCTTGTGTACCCTGTGCGTTCTGCTGGCCATTCTGCGCAGCGTTGGAAGCTTCTGTCTTTGTAGTTTGTTCTTTTTGTTGTTGCTGTGGTTGTTGTGATGCAGAGGCAGGCTGCGACCCGGGCTTGGTCTCTTCGCTGCCATGCAGTCACGCGAAGCTTACACGGGCAACGTGCTCGTAGAAAGCCTTACCCTGGCCCTCGGCGATCTCGAGTTCGAGAGCACTGGGCTGGCGGGAACCGTCCGCGCCCTATAGAGTGATATGTTAGCAAATGTTATGGCCACGAGACATAAATGCAAATCTTACAGCGAAAGTACCGGCACCCCAGGCGCTACCACCGTGGACCTCACTCAGGTTGGCCAACTGGGCAAACATGGTCTTGTAGCCGAGAGGAACGTAGATGAAGCCGTGGTGAGAAAGAGTGCTCATGGCAGCAATGGCGGTGGATTCCTGGCCACCACCGAGGGTACCAGTGGAGACGAACAGGCCAGCATACTTGCCCCAGTAGCCACCGGTGGCCCAGATGCCGCCAGTGCGGTCCCAGAAAGCCTTCCACTGGGCAGGGAAGTTACCATAGCGAGTAGGGATACCAAAGAGCACAGCGTCGTATTTCAGGAGAGTTTCCTGGTCGGCGATGGGGTGATCCTTCTTCTCAGGAGCGTGCATCTTGTCCAGGACCTCCTTAGGCAGAGTCTCAGCAATCCTATGGAAAGACCATTAGCAATTGGGCTTTACACCGGTGTTTCTTTGTGAACGTACTGGTAGATGTCGGCCTGGCCGCCAGCAGATTCAATACCCTTCTTCTCGGCCTCGGCCAGGTGGGCGATGTGGCCGTACATGGAGTACTACAGTTCGTTAGCCATTGAGTCTCGCATAAGAAGATAAGCAGAACGGTCAAAGTTTCGTACGTAAACGATAGCGATCTTGGGAGCCATGGCGACGGTATGTGGTTTTAATTTTATTGTAGAGGGGGGTTTTGAGGAAGTTGTAGTGGGGAGATGGAGGAAGAATTGAAGTATCAGCCGGACCAGGCGAGAACTCTTATATATGCGAGATTGCGTTCCTTGGGGAAGACGGTTGACCACGAGGGGTTGGGGCTACCCCCTCCATTCGAGAAGCTCGACACCGGAATTCAATTGGAAGCTTGCCAAATGATCCGTAATCGATGACAGAATCCATTTGGTTCGAGAGAAGCGCCGGGTGATTGGTTCTGGAAGGGCTACTGTGGGGGGTTGCTGGGGGTCCAACCGAATGTCCATTGCTCCACCGACGCCTCCTGGGCCAATAATCCGCATGGCTGGTAACTTAGCTGAGTCTTACTGATGATTAGCAAATGGTCCCCTTCCCTGCTCCCAGAACGTTCGATCGAACAGGACCTTGCTGAATGATCTCTAATTGAGGTGGAAGAATGATTTCCAATCAGGGGAATAAAAGATACCATCTTCTGCGCTTCAATTCCGTTGTGGTGAGTAATCTACAACGACTAGGAAATGTGACTCGGATAACTATCGCAATGCACTGGCCTTGCTGTCGTGATGTCATCCACTTCTGCAAGTACGACGACGCCATGTCACGTTAATCGACAGCCAAATCTGTGGCTGCAAACTGTGTTACACGAAACCAGACACAATGGCCGCGGCATTGTTCCTTTGTGATATACTCTATACGCTCTTCCATACCCTATAGCAGCCGCCATTATGGTTCACTAGATCATACATACGAATAGATTGTCAATGGCTGAACTTGGGTATCTCAAACGTTCTAATAATAAGCTTAAATCCACCACGAACAAATAACCTTCTCTCTTTCCTATCCAAAAAGAAATCCCACAAAACATGTCCCCGCTTATAGCCCACGTCCGCGGCCTCTAAAACGACCACGCATGAATCCACCCCCTCGTCCCCGCTCACTCCTCCATTCACGTTCACGTTCCTTTTCTCTTTCCTGCTCCTCCCGGATCAAAATTCTCTCTCGCTCCAATTCCTCCTCAGTCTTCTCCACCCTAATTGACGGCTTGGGTAGGTTCTCGATCCACCGGGCATGAGCGTCCGCGCAACCCTTGCCCTCTGGACAGAAACCTGCCAGGTAGTACTGGCACAGGCGTCGGCGCACATGGCGTTTGGCACATAGCGGCCCCAGCGGGCAAAACCCCCGATCGTAGTGTTCGCACGGCGGTAACCGAGCCTGCTCCCGCACGTGCTGATACAGACAGTCGTCTCCATTCGGGCAGTAGCCTGACCGCGAAAAGGACTGGCACTCTGGCATCCGACGAAGGTTGTATTCATGGAGATATTCACATTTGAGTCCTTTTTTGCACAGCCCCTTGAGGAAGTGCTTGCAGACGAGTGACCCGTGCGTCGTAGACGGTGCCAATCCGGAAGCGGTGGTCGTGGACGTCGTCACTCGTGATGGGGTCGGATGTCGATCGGGGCAAGCTGGCCCTAAGGGGCAGTGGCCTTCACTGTACGCCTTGCAGACGGGCACATCACAGGCCAGTCCGAAGCCGAAGCTATTGCGTAAGAAGGGGACGAAGGAGAAATCGTTATAGCTCGGGTCGCGCTCGCTGCCAGAAGCTAAGATTTGTGATGCGGCGTAACTAACTTCTGCTGACATGGCTGTGTTTTATCGTTATATAATAGAGCTAAGAACAGAATATGTCGCTATTTGGGTGACAAAGGAAGTGAGTGAGAACGAAATGCTCGCGGCCGGAAACTTGGGCGGCAGCGGAGCTCAGATACAATTCGGTGCTGGAGCCAGTCCAAAGCACTAAGTAAGGGGGTTCTTGAGCTGTACAGTTTGGTGAGTGATTTTGAGGACAAAGTCAGGGAAATGGTCGGTAACAATGTCAATGCAGTGATGGTCAAACCCAGGATGCAGAAGAAATTCTGGTCAATGTCAAAGGAACAGCTCGACGGCGGAAAAACGCCTGACACTAAAACAGAAGGCGGTGGCAAATGTTCCGATCATTCTGAAAGTATCCCACGTGACCGCCAGCAACCATGGATGCTTTGATGATGCAAGGGTGGGCAGTTAAGGAAAAGCTGTATTTCTCTAGAATGTATAGCGCAGCGTAGTAGTCTAGAATATCATGGTAATTATAGGAAAGATTCGATGTAACTATAACAAAGTGAACAGGGTCTTCGGATGGACTTGAAGGATGGAGGATAGTCAGTCTGAAGGAACTCTGTTCAGTCAACTCAGCGTGCTGATAGGCGCCCTGCATTGTTACTCACCGGGTCAATAGGTGTTTGACGGAGAATGGACTTTCGCATGTAGGAAACACTGGTTCTACTTCCCACTATTTTTGGCTCTTCACATTTCCCTCAACTAGGATGTATCATACCTTAGCCTTACTAATAATACAGTGACCTCGAAAGCAGTTCAGAGATAAATACATCTAATTTAGCACCTCGTGTGTTCTGAATATCTCTTCTGGTCACCTCAAATTCTGATTAACTATGTATCTTACGCCAACTTATATGCATAAGGGGACACTGCTGATGATCCAGATTATACTAACATCTAGGAAGATACAGGCATATCCTGCTTATTAGCTATGGCATAGACAATAGCAAGTATAACTTTAGAGATAAAGTCATCTATATGCCCATGAACCTTCTGATGATATAGTATATCTCAGTCTACGCTGCTACATACTTCCTCTGAGTTTCCCATTGAGCGAACCCAGTCTCGATCTACCTCTTTCGCCAGAAATCCACCGTAATCGTATATAGCCATTGGTACTTCCGAATGACACTCAAGATATATCACGAAACCTGAACCATATCGCAATACAACTAATCTTTCAGATATCCGAGGTGAGTCTAAACCAGAGCAGGTATAGTCTTGATCTAAGTTGATCGTGTAATCACGTGCATACTTGGCGCCTTGGAGCCTTAGTAGCTGAAAACCCATAACGTAATTGATAAACGAGCTGCGCACCACCCGCGTTTTCGACGCGCCTAAATTTCTTAGATGATCTAAACATCAGCTATACCACCAAAAATGCCTAAATCATCAAAATTACGCGTTGAACAAGAAGGCCGAATTCTACAGGCTATATCGGCCCTAAAAGAAAATAAATTTAATAGCCTTAGAAAGACAGCTAAGGTGTTTAATTTACCTAAGTCTACCTTACGCAGTCGCCTAAAAGAGGTCTCTTTTAGAAGCGATATACGCGCCAACGGTTATAAATTAACTACTAGTAAAGAGGAATCGCTTAAGCAGTGGATAATATTACTAGATAAACGTGGAGCACCTCCTCGGCCAGCATACGTACATGAAATGGCCAGTATCTTACTTTCAAAACGGGATACTACTTCTTCCCCTACTACTATAGGGAAAAGATGGGTATCTAACTTTACCAAGTGTACGCCTGAGCTTAAGACCTGCTTTGCACGTCGCTATAACTATCAACGTGCTAAAATAGAAGATCTAAAGATTTTAAATGCCTGGTTTCAGTAAGTAAATGAGACTATTCAGAAGTACGGCATAGCCTCATCCGATATCTACAATTTCGATGAAACCGGGTTTGCAATGGGCCTAATCGCTACTGCCAAAGTGATTACTAGATCTAGTACACCAGACAAGCCGTTTTTATTGCAGCCGGGTAACCGGGAATGGATCACTTCTATAGAATGTATTAGTTCTAATGGATAAGCTCTACCTCCTTGCATTATATTTAAAGGCAAGGTACATATAGAGGCCTGGTATAAGAATCGAAAGGTTCCATCTAATTAGAGGATCGAGATCAGTCCTAACGGCTAGACGAGTAATGAAATAAGTCTGCGTTGGTTACAGAATCATTTTATACCGGCCACTGCAGGCCGATCTATCAGACGATATCGATTACTTATTTTAAACAGCCACGATAGTTATCTGACACCTCAATTTGATCAGATATGCTCGGAAAACAATATTATACCGATCTGTATACCTGCGCACGCTTCTTATAGGCTTCAACCGCTTGATGTTGCTGTTTTCTCACCTTTAAAACGCGCGTACGGTGGCCTTATTAAATCTAAGATACGCTGCGGGATTCATCATATCGATAAACTTGACTTTTTAGACGCCTATCCGGAAGCTCGTACACAGGCGTTTACCGGAAGCAATATTTATAGTGCTTTTAGAGCTACCGGCCTAGTTCCTTTGAATCCTGAGTCTGTTCTATCTCAGCTGGCACTTCAACTCAATACCCCTACACCTCCGGGTAGTAGACCAAGCAGCCGAGGCAGTTCAGCGCCTAAAACGCCTCATACAATTAAGCAGTTGAAAAAGTCAGAATCTACGCTTAGAAGGCTGCTTAAAAATCGGTCTCGCAGTCCCGATTCACCTACTAAGGCCTGCCTAAATCAAATGATTAAAGGCGCTGAACGAGCTATAAACGACGTGACGCTATTTAAGCATCAGCTTGAGCGATATGAGGCTTTATATGAAAAGCAGCTTAAAAAGCGAAAGCGCTCTACTAAGCAGATTGCTTTTGAAGGGGGTACATCAGTATCTGACGCCCGAATCTATATAGAGCGCAGAGCTCAGGCAGATGAAGCTATTCAGGCAGAGGGAACTCAGCCTGCTGAATCGGGGGCTAGACGCGCACCCCCTAGATGTTCTGGCTGTAATGTACAGGGCCATAAAATTACGAACTGCTCGAATCGATAGAACTACTCATCTTTATATAGAAGTCTAAATTCATGGTGTTTTAATCGTTTTAATTTTTCATATTGCGGGTGGTGCGCAGCTCGATTGTGTGCGCAGCTCGTTTATCAATTACGTTAGGTTTACTCGTTAACTTAGTAATAATTCGTAATTGTTTACGATCAGACATGGATCCTTGAGTATACCTCAAGTTTCTCGAGCGAATTATATCCAATCATTTCGCCGTCACGCAACAGTTTACCAGGTTTAGGTTCAATAGCGGGAGCAAGACAACCGACAACCTAGTCTAAGGGGTAAAAGGGGAGAGACGTTAAGAGAGAAAAGAGAAAAGAGAAGGAGAATTGCAGATCTGGACTTGGGGGGTCATGGCATGGCTGCAGACGTAAACACCGGTGCTGCTGCCCCTGCATACGAGACATCCTGGGAAGTCACAACGTCACATGGTCTGTCTGACTCTGCCACTCTGGCGTTGATATTCCGTGTGTAACACATCGGCAAGTGGTGAACAATTCATTGATGTACGAAAGATAAATGCATATATATATATATGTCTTTAGTTCTGAGGTTTCATGATAGAAGTGGCTCTACTCACGATGCGTTGGACAAGTCTCGACGGAGGTTATGGGCCGGGCCTTCCGATTTAGGGTTCCGACAAGGGACTTGCGGCGATCACTCCAACCATCGTCAGACTTTCACCTGCACCCCGAAGGTCAGGTGCATGGCTTGGGATGATTGACGCATGAGTGATCCCTGAGCTCGAACAGACCCAGTCATATCCACGCATGAAGCATCGTCATTTGCAAGCCGTCATGCGGGGGTGGAAATGCGACTAATTACTAGTCTGCAGTTCTCTCCACAGCCACGAACGAGTAAGAAAAGTAAGTAAACCTTATGGGGTAAAAAAGCAAATCCAAGACCAAAACAACTAAAAAAGAAAAAGAGAACAAAGGGATAGCTGGAGCTCACCTAATCGATCGACAGTGCTCTTTATTTATGAAACATCTAAAAGAGTTACATCCAAGTACCAGTGATATTATTATTGAAAGTTGTTGGCATTTCTACAACCGGTCTTACCTAAGGTTGTGGTGGTTTCCGTCCTATACTATACCATTACCAAGTCAGCCCGCAATGCACAGCTCTGCCACCGATCCACTCAAATCTTACTATGAAACTGGGGCTTAGTTCATTGCTACCAGACTCGTGAGACGATCTTCACCGAAAAGCCCCAGAACGGTCTTTTCAGCGCTTTCAAACCCGCGCGCTCTGCCTAGTGCTTCACCTATGAAGCTTCCGGGGCACCCAATAAATATCAGTCGACGGAACAGACACCGAAAGGTGGGGTGAGCGTAATCCGGGAGTTTAGACCCTCTGGAAGCTGCTACCGATCAAAAGTCCCTTTCGATATATTTCTGGCCTGGTGGCTAGTCCACGAATGAGCATGGTACCGTCGGAGGCCCAGCTTGACACGGTCCTCTTGCAACCCTACAATAGAAGGATAAATAGAATCTTATTGTCCGGGGTTGGAGTCTTAGGCCCGGGGTGGGAGAGAAAGAGTGAAAGCGTCATTTTCCAGCACTGGCTATAAGTCAAGAATTAATGCACGATCTTTCCATCAGCGTGCATTGTGCAGCAAATGTTATGTCACTCTTCTGTCGTCGACGGGCATGGAAAGTCGCTGAGCACTAACTTTGGTTGCCTTCTTTGATTCACGCCTCCCCAAAGACTTCACATTGGGGGGGTTTCGCTTTCGCCTTCACTTGCCTG